TCGATTGGTTAGCACGTACGCGCTGTATGATAAGGTCTGTCATTGAGTCAACTTGCGTGGTTTCGATTCCCCAGTTGTATGTGACAAGGAGTAGGGTCGCCTGTCCAACCTCATGGGTTTTCTCCGGGTCGCCTGGTTTCCTCCCACTGCTAAAGACCCCTACGTGCAAGTGAATTATTGAAATAAAACTGACCCATATGTTAGTCCTGAAATGACCTAGTTTGTGTCGAGTGGAGTTAAACACCATATCTCTCTCTCTCTCTCTCTCTCTCTCTCTCTCTCTCTGTAGAAAAAGTATGCATATCATGTCTTGTGCACAACACTTGTCACTGCTTAGAAATGAAATGGTGCTTTAATGTCTTATATTTCTGTACCGACTACTGGTAGGTCAATGAAGACAAGCATATGCACACTGCTTACTCAGAGTGAATTTTGCCCTGGCAGGACTAATGCCAGATTTATCATTGTGCTTAAGAATGCTAAAGTACAGGCCCTGTTATCCAGGGAGTCCCCTATCTTCCCTGATATTTCAAAAATTTGCCTAACACTTGCTGAAAATAAATTTTGACCAAGTAACATGTAATATTTTAGCTACTAAATTTTCTGAGCATGTATGCCGAACTACCTGTGTAGGCATACCGGGCCCACGTCCTTCAGGGCCCAAGGAAGGGACCTCATAACTTAACTAGCACATAGGGCTTCATTTGTCTAAATTCAGACACTGCCCAGTACCTTCTGGTTTGTATCGAGCCAGCTCAGTTTTCACAAATCCTCACTAGTTATAACTGTCTAAGAGATATGGTTTAGAACAATAATTGCTGTGAGTGAAATGGTGCCCTGATTCTTGAGGGGCACTTGGATAATTGTGAGCTGGATTCATACTCACAAAACGACTGTGAGTGCTCAATACTTGTAGCTATCTGGAGAAATGTCTTGGACCAACACTTGAGATGCTGGCTGGTTCATCCTAAAGTATTTTTCCATTACTGTTGATCAATATTCAAGGAAATGGAATATATACCAGGGAATTGTGTGCTTTATTTGTTTCATTGATTTTAAATACCTTCTAAATCCCATGAGTCGCCTGGGTTTTTTTTGCCGCAATGAAGAAGTTTGATTTAAAATTCTTTACTTGGTGATGGTTAAACCGATTGTTCCTCATGAAAAATTGGGATCTGTTATTTAGTATGGGTGAGAAAGGAAGCAGAGGCTGCGTAAGGGGGGATGGCTGAAGCCAGGGTCCGCAGAAATTGACTTATATTGTTGTTTCTGAATACTTATAAATTTCTGGCAAACAGAGAGAAATGGGGTTTAACGTCCACTTGATACAAACTAAGTCATTTCGGGACTAACACACGGTTCAATTTTATTTCAATAATTCACTTGTGCGTGGGGGTCTTTAGCAGTGGGTTGAAACCGGAGGACCCGGCGAAAACCCACAAGGTTGGACAGGCGACCCTAGTTGTTGTCATGTACAAGCAGGGATTCGTATCCAAGCTATCTGATTCAATGACAGACCTTATGATACAACGCGCATATGCTAACCATTTAGCCAACCAACCCCCCTTCTGGCATAATGATAATGAATATTTTTTTCACAGTTTATAGACGCCAGATTGTTAGTGATCATTTTTAAGGAAGAATCCCATACAACCTTAATCAGTCTTTGCAAAGAAGAGGTGTTACTTGAGATTATGGAATAGAAGTTTCCTTTAAATTGAAAGGTTGTACATCGAGAAATTAATGTATCTCCATTTTTGTCGTATACCCTCCCCACCCCTTTTCTCAAGAAAAGGAAACCAACAGATTTTGTTGTCGTATCTTTAAAGGTGTTTTATATAAGATTTAGATACATTAAAGGGGCTGGCGTTCTTGCCATACTAGACCAAAAATTGATATTGAAAATATAATTGAAATTACATTATTCTGGGTGAATTAATGACCGTTTATTATCATAGCAATGGGGGGATCACATGGCTAAGTGGGTAACACGCTGGCTCACTAGCCTGGAGGTCGGGTGTTTTCGATCCCTGCATTGGCCGAGAAAGTTCATCCAGATTTTCCGGCGTGGTTCCCCCTTGTCAGTGATGCAGGACGGAGGGCCTGACAAGGACAGCTGTCTAGTCGTTCGGATGGGACGAACAACCTTGGCAGTTGGAATTCGATATAAGAGTAGGCAGTAGTGCTGCTGTCCGGGCAAAATTTCCCTCATAGCACACTGTATGGCGTATGCCTGTCTTCATTAGCCCAGTTTGGAGCAGAACAGTAGGACGTTAAACCCCATTTCATTTCATTTCATCATAGCAATGGTACTAGATAATCAAGTCTTAAGTGTCAATTATATCCATTTCATCCTTAATTTTTCAACTCTCGCAGGTGTTCTAATCTATTTGAATCTCAACCATCCGATTCTCTAGAGAGTTAATTAATTATAGACTTGTCATGTGCATAAATGTCTAAATAATAGTTTTTAAAATACAGATGTGACGTCATCTTTTGATGTTGGCATACCATTATTTCCAATAATGTACGGGCAACTTGCCAATCATACATTATCTATACTAGATGAAATATTGGACTTGTGTGACATATTTTATTGAAAAGCACGTGCGGGATAGTGTCTGATTTTAAGTTGTTTAAGTTGCTAACGCCTCATGCAGTATCAATATATTACGTAATGTCTCGCTCTCGACCATTAACCATACATTTAAAATTTGAAACCAAAAAAAAGACCTGCATTTATAGGCAGTTTTAGTTCTAACATGATGCATCTTTAAAAGATAACAGAAAGCAATTGCAGAATCTGCATGAAAAACTACTTTCAGACTTCAACAATAAAGCATCAAACGCTTGAGCTGTATTTTAAGACCTGGTAATGCTATACGCCGCAATTATTTATAAGATTTAACCACACAACGTAATTCCAAGGAAATCCATACGCTTGAGAGAATATTGCAATACTACGTTAATTCAACCTCACGTTTTGTTCTAGCTGTAAATAGAAAAAGGCTTGTTACACGAGTTTCTTCCGCTTCAGAGAATATATCCCATCGTAATGGCGTCATTGATTTGTTGAAAAGTCGAAGCACTGGCCCTATTGTTACTTAATGGTTCATTTCATTCTTGCACTAGGGGTCTGGAATTCCATTTACCTATACCAAATATAGGTTAGAGCATAGCACTAATGGAAGACGCAATGTAGTTACTTCAACAGTGACATTTTTAAACGATTGGATATTTGTATAAAATTTGATCAGTTTTGGTACACAACTTTTAAATTTTTGAAGATGTTCCTAGTATATGTTAATAAAAGTTGTTAATTCTATGTGAAAAACTCTTTATTCGCTCATCAGTCGGGGGGGTTGGATGGCCGAATGGTTAGCATGTGCGTGCTGTATCATACGGCCTGTCATTGAGTCAACTGGTATGGTTTTGAATCCCCAGTTGTACATGACAAGGAGTAGGGTCGCCTGTCCAATCTCGTGGGTTTTCTCCGGGTCCTCCAGTTTCCTCCCACTGCAAAAGACCCCTACGCGCAAGCGAATTATTGAAATAAAATTAAACCATATGTTAGTCCCGAAATGACCTAGTTGGTGCCGAGTGGACGTTAAACCCCATTTCTCTCTCTCTCTCTCTCGCTCATCAGTCAGGATGAAAGACCTGGCAAGGGGGAGCATCTAGATCATTGGCAGCATGGGACTAATCATCTGACTGTTGGATTTCAAAATAAGAATAGACCGTAGCACCAATGTCCGGGTGTACTTTCCATCCCAAGAACACTGCATGGCATATACCCACCTTCATTAGACTGGTTGATGTAGAAAAATAGAATATAACGGTTAACACCATTTCATTTCATTTCTTTATCGAAATTTGCTTTAAAGATACATTCATTATGGGAGATAAGATAAAGAGCTGGCAGTTCTCTTTATAATAATTAAAAACTAGATAGTGTAAAGGGAATTTACTAAAAATTTCAGTTAAATTGATCCACTGTGAACCGAGAATTTAGCGATTGAATTTTGGGCCAAGCCTCGATAATCATTACTAAAGTCGGTGCAATAAAAAACTTAGACTTGGTTATCCATTTCTTGATTTAATCATGAATGAGCATTGAGCAGCAGATCGGATCCTGATCCAGTACATATCGCAGGCTAGCAATGCCATTGAGAGTTGATTATGGTCTGGATAAGTTAATTAATGTCTAATTAATAATTTAGATAACATTTCAGGCCTAAATATGCAGATTTAGCTCTTGCATAATGTATGTTTAATTTCTGTGACAGATAAAAAATGATTTTTAAAAATGTCTTAAGATTATATCACTTTGGTGAAAAGAAATAATGAAAATACTGCCACAAAAGAGACAGGAGTTTAGTTTAGTCTAAAATTGCTTAGAATCTGTTATCTTTACATAGCAGGGTCAGAGTAATAATATTTTTCCTATTGTATTGACCCCCCCCCCCTCCATTACCTGCCAAGGAAGGAGGCTTCAGGACAATAAAACTGTCTAGACATTGGAATGGGACAGAAAACCACAGTCTACATGTGTCAGTTTACACTTTGGCGTGCATGTAAAAGACCCCTTGGCAGTTGAAATTCGATGAAGAGTAGGCAAATATGCAGCTGTCCCAAAACAATTATCTCCCTTGCATAGCATGTTGGATAGGTCTAAATATTAAGGCCACCTGCAGATTTCTGTCAAGGTCATGAGATGTAAACAGAACTAACGCTAATCCTAACTCTAACCCACAATCTAATCAACTATAACATGCCTAACCCTACTTACATCTTGCAACCTTGAAATCTGCAGGTGGCCTTAATATTTAGACATGACCCCCTGTCACCAGTGAAATTAAAAATAATGTATATTAGACTCAAAATGATCAAAATATTACATTAATGAAATGTCAAACCTCCAATTCCATTCCATTCCATTCCACCATGGAAGAACCATGATTCATTGATGTGTCGTTAATGAAAACTTGTTTTCTTTTCAGCTGACCTCTGTGGACTCGGAAGGGTGCCATCAAAATGCTGGAAGGTTCAGAGTTGAGAGTGGAGAGAGAGAATATGGAGAAGAAACATATCTTTCTGTAAGTTTCTCTACTTTCAGTTTTATTTTTATAGTCATTTGTATTTTTTAGTTCAGCAAAATTGTTGTAAGCAATATCTTAAATGTCTTGAGTTCCACCCCCTACTCCTTTCTCAGCAAGGTTGTTCTGAACAAAAACGCTTTGAAATTTTGTTTGTCGATGCAAGAATGTTTGTTTTTTTATTAATGTGACAAAAAGAGTCAAGTCCATGGGTTCCACATCAGCTGTATATGCCGGTCATGACCGCTTGATACAAAAATTGAACCATCGGTCAATATACATACCTTGAAGCTAGCATATTTTACAAAACCCCATTTTCAAACATGGTTACGTTCAACCTCTGTCATGTAGCTATAAACTTATTCGACAATATGTACAGAATATAGCATTCATATAGATGCCACACTATCTCAATATTGGCGTGTAGAGTTGTATACATAGTTGTAACATGGACGGAAAATCTTCCTTTGTTCTTTTCATTGAATAAGCAGATTGTTTTCCCTCTAGTAGATTGAGTGGAGCTTAACCGTGCAATAACTAGACATGTTCAATGTTATTGCACTCTTTTTCTGTTTTACACTAGTTAAGTTTTCTGTGCAATAACAACAAGCATGTTGAGCAGGTGTCAATATTACAAGTCATTTATAGCACGTTTCATTTGTTAACAGGTTTAACATCTCGACCTGCGGTCTCGTTGTTTAAACCTGTTAACTCATGAAAGTCGTGCTATAAATATAGCTTGTCAACAGAGAATTATACTAATTATTGGCACTCACAATAACTTATTTATAATTTATATTTCAGCTATCAAGTCCCTTAAACAGCCCAATCCATTTAGAAAACCCAGAATTTCAGACCCGGTGGTATTTTAAATACTTTCTTGGAAAACGTAAGTCTCTTTTTTAAAAAAAGATATATCTGACAAATCCCTAAAGATACATTATGTAAGATTGAGATAAAGAGTTGGTCCTAAAAAATAGATAATGAAAAATGAATACATTGAAAATTTCAGTCAAATTACTTTATTCTGAGTGAAGTTGTCAGTCTTTGAAGTTTTCACAATATAGTCTCAATTGTCAAGTATCATTGCTACGATAATTAATTTTGAATTAAAATATTAAATGGTGATAATGTTTCAATCCATTGAAAATTGTGACCATCCGATGCCCAAGAGAGTTGATTATGGGCTTGTCATGTGAATAAATGTCTAGTTAATACTTTATATAGAATTTTATGCCACATGAAAGACCTCCAATAGACAGTTTTAGCTCTTACATAATGCATCTTTAAACGGCACTGTCATTAGATTAGTTTCCATACAATCTTTACATACATGTAAGGTGTAATGATGCAATTGGTAATAAATGACCCACTCACACAGTAGGAGAACTAATATTCCAAGCAGAAACAGTATAAACAAGAATACAGCAGAGACAAATTTTCGTAGAGAAGCAGTAACATTGAGATAGAAACAATGCAATTATTGTTTTAAAGCATCAGTTGTTTGGGGTGCCGGAACAGGTATGTCTTCTGCCAGGATTCCAACCCGCGATCTTCAACATGGAAGACGGACTCGCCATCGGCTCAAATCACTAATTTATTTGGACTATATACAGTCGATGTTGTTTGTATTTTAGAGGAGAGCTGAAAAAAGCTCTCCTTAATCAACAAATTAAAAAATAGCTTCCCTAAAAAAACTCTCCCAGTTTCAAAAAGCAGAGTGATTTAGAAATTAAGGAGAGTGATCTGATATTAAGGAGAGTGATTAGTTATGTGTATGGGAAATGGTTCTGAAGATCAATAACTGCATGTTAGGGGGTTATTCCTGGTTGCATAAAAGATAATAAACCCCCAATGCCTTTTTAAAGGAGAGCGATTTTCAATTTTCCCTCCCCCTCGATCGACATTCAGGTGAGCAGCAGGCGCTTGAGAGCGATTGCTCGCCTTAAAAAACAATGACTGCATATATACACAAGGCCATGATCTAGACATAAACATTTTTGTCACCAATTCTAATGTACAGACAAACTTCTAACTGGAAATATGTAGTATCCGGGGATGTCGATACAATTATAGTGATAGACGACAGACGACAAGTCACCTTTTACATTCCGTTTGATTTTCTCTCACTGGCAGAAGACAGAAGAGCAGCGAGTTCAGTTCTCAAAGATCGGGGTCAACCAACAATCGATGATAAGAATTATTTGAAATTGAGGTTTCCTGTTAGATGTCAATTGAGAATTACTTGAAATTGAGGTTTCCTAAACTAATAGATGTCAATTGAAAGGGTTTGAATTCTCCAAACATTACAAGAAAAAATCTAGCTTTTTTTCATTTCCAGATGTTTTATTGTTTTATAGATCAGACATGTTTGTGTTTCCGAGAATAATCGATCGATCGAGAAACATTTCTATTTATATATATATACATATTTGGTAGAGCAAGAATCAATGAACATAAAGGTTGTCCTTTTCTCGAGAAATTTGTGACACTTATTACAATGTATAAAATATAAAACAATAAATCCAACACTTGATATATACAGATAGGCACCTATAAAACTGTCATTTAATACTTGATATACCAGCAGACAGGTGCCTATAAAACCGTAAACAAATACATGTATTATGACAGCTCCCAGACATGAAACTGTAAAAACTGTTCTGAATCAGTTTCGTAAAAAACTATGTTCTGAATCAGTTTCGTAAATCGTTTTGGTGATAAACATATATTATATATTTTGTACACAGAATTCCTACACTTTTTGTAACCACATTGAAGATTCAGAACATTACTTAATTGCATTGCCAAGCTCAACTAGGGCTGTGGAGATCTTCGACAGATAGGCTTTTAAAATTAAATTTTATAAATTCTCCTCCCATCCACTGATATACATATATATTGCCGAATGATGACAAATTATCATTTCATCATATCTTTGTAAATACTGAACTGAATTGATGTGTGAATTATTCATTTTCGAGTCAATGTTTTCAACGAGTTTAAAGTTCTATCCCAGCTTTGGCCGAGAAAGTTCATCCAGATTTTCTGGTGTGGTTCTCCCTTGTCAGTGATGCAGGATGGAGGGTCTGAAAAGGACAGCTGTCTATTCGTTCAGATGGGATGAAAACCTGAGGTCCCGTGTTTTCATTGGCGTGCACGTAAAAGATCCCTTGACAATTGGAATTTGATATAAGAGTAGGCTGTAGTGGCGCTGTCCGGGCAAAATTTCCCTCATAGCACACTGTATGGTGTATGCCCGTCTTCATTAGCCCAGTTTGGAGCAAAACAGTAGGACGTTAAACCCCATTTCATTTCATTTCTATAAAAGAATAATTTAAAATAAACCGTTAATTGATCAACAGATAGACTAAAAGAGAAAAAAAAACATTTGACCGACTTCCTCCATCAGCTTTATAAATTACTTCTGTTACACTTGACTATTATTTCGAGCTCTGACATAAAACACATAATTTAATGAGGTATAAAAATAAAGTTTTTGTTTCCTGTTTTGATTTTTCAAAAAGTCGTCTCTGAAGGGGTTTGTGACAGAAATGTTGAAACCTTTTAACAAGAACAAACTGCACTATTTGGCAAAAAAATAGGTATTGTTTCTTTGAAAAGACCAAAGAGATGAGACACACACAGAACATCTGAGCAAAACAAAACAAAATTCAAAAAGGATGTAATCAAAAAGTTAAGTATACTTGTCAATTTTTGCACTAAAAACGTTTTAATTCTATAAAGATGAAAGCAAACTGATGCTATATCTGTCAAAGTGTTTGGCACTTAGACTGAAAAACAAATACCTTAAATTAAAAGATGGTTCGCTCAAGAACATGGTGGCATTTGACAAAAATTGCGGTATTGCTATGTTTAATAGTTAGCCAATCTGCTTTTTTGGTGTTGTTTGAAGCCATTTGGTGATTCCAGTGTCATGCCAGGACAATAAATGCGGTATTGCGATGTTTAATAGTTTGCCAATCTGCTTTTTTGGTGTTTTGTTAGAAGCCATTTGATTCCAGTGTCATGCCAGGATAATTCTGTTTTACATGGACTATAAATGGCATAATAATTCACAGTTTCACCCATAGGCATATCTGCGTGAGAGTCATTAAGAACATTTCTATTTTTAGAAAGACTTAACATATGGATATAGGATTTCTATTGACAAGGAAAACAATCAGAATCTCCTTTTGTGTTGTCATGTCTCTGGCAACAAGAGCTGTCATACCTGGGGCATTTTATTTTTGACTGCAGTAGGATTAAAATGAAAGGGGAAGTAAGGAAGTCATGGACTTAACCAATAAACGTATTTTATCTGTACAAAACATTAAGATCCAAGGAGGCTTTCAAATTCTATAAATGTAAAATTAGTAGGTGTAGATTACCTAGGGGAATGTGTCAAAATGACTGACCTTTCCTTGGCAATATAGCTTATTGAGTCCCAGCTTTCCTTTTGTTGTCCCCCGCCTTTCGAAGAAAGCAGGGGACTATTAAAATCGGTATGTCCGTCCATCTAGCTGTTCGTCTGTCCGTCCCACTTTTTGGGACACCATAATTGTGCTAGAACGTAGGTGTTTATTAGGTGGGGTTTGAAGATGAGCATTTTCTGCTTAGGGTAAGCAGAGATAAGCAATTTTATTTGTTGATGCTTTGGGACACGATAACTTTAGTTCTAATTAAGTGAGAGTGATGAAACTTGGTGTATAGTTTCATTACATCAATACCTTGACTAAGTTCAATAATGAGCATATTCTGCTCAGGCTAAGTAGTCTGGAACGTAACAACTCTGCTTTTAATTGAGGAGGAATGTTTAAACTTGATATAGATGTTCATTATTTGAATGTCTTGACTGGGTTTGAAGATGAGCATTTCCCACTAAAGCTAAGCAGAGGTAAGCAATTTCATTAGTCGATGCTTTGGGACAAGATAACTTTGATTCTAACTGATGAAGAGTGATGAAACTCAGTGTATAGTTTCACCTACCAGGTACTTCGAAACCTTGATTGAGTTTGATTGTGAACATTTTATGCTTAGTAGACTAAGTATAGATAATCAGTTTGATTGCTCAATACTTTTGAAAACGATATATTAATGTACAATTATTCAATATGTGTCATCTATTTATTTTTGGATTTCGGTGGGGGAAATCGGCCTCACTGTTTGCTTGTATTTATTAGTTATTACCCATGGTGTGTTTAGGATCTTTGTTTAAAGGTAACAACACGTTTATTAGCGAAGAGAAGAGAGGAGACTACTCTCAAGACAAGTAACCTTTTACACACCATTCAAAGCCTTTTTGCTGTTTTACCTGAAGGATGAGATTTGTTTGAAATGTTGGGGTGTTGGATGGCCGAATGGTTAGCATGTGCACGCTGTATCATTGAGTCAACTGGCGGGCGTTCGATTCCCCGGTTGTACGTGGCAAGGAGTGGGGTCGTCTGTCCAACCTCGTGGGTTTTCTCTGGGTCCTCCGGTTTCCTCCCACTGCTAAAGACCTCTATGCACATGGGAATTATTGAAATAAAATTGAACCATGTGTTAGTCCCGAAATGACCTAGTTTGTGTTGAGCGGACGTTAAACCCCATTTCTCTCTCTCTATTTCAAATCTATTCTGTTCTACATTATTACACAGGATGTTTTGGGAAATCTTGCCGTTTCATCTGTTGCACTTGATGTGTTTCGAGTCATAACATTCTTTGTGTATCTCAACTTTTATATTAACACAAAAAACAAAATTGAATGATTATTTTGATAAAGAACAAAATCATAAACCATAATATTATTCACGTTTTATCAGTTCATTAGTAGTATGTAGGTAATGATATGGAAAAAGAACCATTACTTCTTTTGTGGATCCCAACTTTTATTATTAACACAAAAATCTAAATTGAATCATTAATTTGATAAACAAAAAACTCATATTCTGTTGTATTATAATTTTTTCAGTTCATCAGAATTACGTAGGTGTTGATGTAGAAAAAGAACCATTTTTATTATCAGTTGTCGTCACGGATGCTAATAACCACAATGTTCAACAATACAGAGCTATTTTATGGCGTAAAACAGTAAGTCAACCATATTAATTCCTATTTTAAATAAATTCCTTTCCTTATTAGGACATTTGACCTTATTTTGTTCCATTTTTATGTGCCCACATTTTCATGTGGACGTATTATGCCATCGCTCCTGTCCGTCCGGACTTCCACATGTTCGGACATCAAACATTTGTTTGTGAACACTCTACAGGGCACAATTTTTATCCGATTTTTACTAAACTTGAAATATATGTCTATCTCCCAAAGAAATAGGTTCCTTTTGATATTTCTGGCTCCTAAATGTGCGAAAAATCACGTTTTTAAATTGTGGACACAGATGTCTTCCGATCATTAGTCTCCAGCTGTCTCAGACCACACTTTATAACTGTTGTTGTCATCCCCTACTGCTGTTGTTTAATTATTAACGGGGGGTTGGATGGCCGAATGGTTAGTATGTGCGCGCTGTATCATAAGGCCTGTCATTGAGTCAACTGCCGTGGTTTCGAATCCCCGGTTGTACGTGACAAGGAGTGGGGTCGCCTGTCCAACCTCATGGGTTTTCTCTGGGTCCTCCGGTTTCCTCTGGGTCCTTCACGCAAGCAAATTATTGAAATAAAATTAAAAACATATGTTAGTCCCAAAATGACCTAGTTTGTGTCAATTGGATGTTAAACCCCATTTCTCTCTCTCTCTCTCTCTCTCTATATATGAACACTGTGTGTATCGCTGAGATCCTAGTACAGATGTCTTCTGATCATTAGTCTTCAGCTGGCTCAGACCACACTTTACGAGTGTTGTCATCTTCTATTGCTGTTATTGAATTATTAACGGGGTGTTGGATGGCCGAATGGGTAGCATGTGCGCGCAGTATCATAAGGCCTGTCCAACCTCATGGGTTTTCTCCGGGTCCTCCTGTTTCATCCCACTGCTAAAGACCCCTACGTGCAAGCAAATTATTGAAATAAAATTAAAAACCATGTGTCCCTAAATGACCTAGTTTGTGTCGAGTGAACGTTACCCCCCCCCCCCCTTCTCTCTCTCCTCCCCTTTTCTCTCTCTCCCCCCCCCCCAGTACAGATGTCATCTGATCACTAGTCTCCAGCTAACTCAGACCACACTTTACTAGACTTGACGTCGTCCTCTACTGCTGTTATTTAAATATTAACTCTGATTATTAATCTTTCACATAGAAATATTATTTATGACTTGGCACCTGCATAAGAATTTTCTTTCTTTCATTTAATTAATTTAATTATTTTTTTTTTAATTAATTAGACTGACTTCATTTAAACCAATATATTTCTATATGCAGTATGTAATATATTTTGAGTCTGTGTATATATTACAAACGTACTGAGAAAATTAATAAAAAAACAATTTATTTTCGAAGCCTGCTATTTATTGTTCACATTAATGATGTTGCTATTTTAGGGCGCCAAGAAAATATCCTTGCCTTATAATCCAAATAAACCTCAAACAGTAAAAGGTATACTAAGGTAAGTAATTAACACAACTACTGGATTTATTGGTTCTTTTTTTTGTAACCACGATGGCTAAGTGAATAAGACACCCTTCTCTGTGAGTAGTCATAACTTTCTGCCAATACACAAGCTGTGACGTAATTTTAGTCCTTCTGTTCATATTCTAGTCTATATTTCTTTGAGGAGAAGGACTAAAATGACGTCACAGATTGTTTATTGACGGAAAATTACAAGTTCTCACGGAGAACGGCGGAAATTACTCATGTTGACATTCGGGTTCTTGTTATACTTATGGAAAGGATATGTTAATATAACTACTTGCATTATTTTTTAAAAAAATTGAAGCCTTTCCGGTGCCCTTTAAGTTTTATATAATTTCTGATAAACCTATAAGTATTGAAATGAAATTGAACTATGTATTAGTCCCGAAATGACCTAGTTTGTGTCGAGAGGATGTTAAAACCCCAATTCTCTCTCTCCCTTTGTTATATGTGTTGATGTTTATATATAAATATATACATTTTGATTTTAGTCACTATGATATAGAAAAATTAGAACGAGGACCAAAAGAAATATTTGATCCTGATATACAGAAAGAATTATTAGTTTTAGAGGAACAGGAGGTAAGTAATACGACCCAATCGAATTCAGTTCTGTTGAACCTGAATGGACAGACAGATAAAACCAGTCCACAATAATTATTTTTATTCAATGGGACAAGTTCTTTCTATATATTTACAGACCTACAGTGACTCAGTGATTAAAGCACTGGCTCACAATCCCTGCACCGAGTTCACAAAGCATTCTCAGACTTGAATTAAGAATTTACTAAAAATAATTGTTTGCCTTATTTTAACTAAAATATAGCTCTTTATAAAACGTTTGTTATTTTAATGTATCAAATACATCAATAAGAAACTATATGCAGAGTATTATGTTTCTGGATCAAAGATAATTCTTATTAACAGTGGTTGAAAGTTGAGTAAATTCTTAAGTCTGTTTGTGGTTTAGAATGAAGGGCCTGGTAAGGAATATTGTCTAAATGTTAGGATGGGACAAAAATCTTTGTTTTGAAATTCGTAAAAGTCGTTTAAAATCACCCAAAATCATCAAATTTGTACTTGTGTCCAGTTTAAAGCTGACCATTCAATTTTGATAATGAGTGTCCAATTTACAAGCGTTTAATTTCTCAATCACTGTTAAGAAATAAACAACCCAATTGATTATTGATGTATAACGATTAATTTTTAAACAGTGGTTAGGAAATTAAATACTTGTAAATTGTACACTTGTTATCAAAATTAATCAATCAGCTTTAAACTGGACAAATTAGATGATTTTGGGGTGATTTGAAATGATTTTTACACATTTTTAAATGTCAAAAAAATTAGTGCTAGATACACAAGATTAAATGATACCCGAGTTATAGTGATGCATGCCTGTGTTCATTAGCCAAGTTGGTATAGAAAAGTAGGATATTAAACCCATTAATTTAAAATAAAAGTAATAACGATTTTTATATAGCTCTAGGCGCCAATCTACTGGGAAACGCTCTAGATGCCAGAAAATGTTCTCTTTCGGGATTGTTAATGACAGTTACTAAGTAACCCAGTTTTCACTTTAGATTTAAAAACTGATACAGAATCACATATGGTGCCAAAGAGTTTCCATTTCTTCAATGCTTATGGGAAATCAGGGACGACAGGCACCATTTCGTATCTTGTAGCTATAGTGTTAATGGACCTCACACCATCTTAAATATTATAAACCAGGTTATTGAACTAATTATACCTTTATATATAGTGCCAAATAGGTCAGAGATTTATCAGTGAAATACCCTGGAGCACTCAGCGCCATAAAAATTGATTATTATTATTATTATTTATTAGATGGTGTAAATAATCTAGATTTTTGTTTTGTTTGGTGGGTATTCTATGGGTCCTCTGGTTTTATCCCACGGCTAAAGGGGGGATTGGATGGCTGAATGGTTAGCGTGCGCACGCTGTATCATAAAGTCTGTCATTGAGTCGAATCCCCGGTTGTACGTGACAAGGAGTAGGATCGCCTGTCCAACCTTGTGGGTTTTCTCCGGGTCCTCCGGTTTCCTCCCACTGCTAAAGACACCTATGCGCAAGCGAATTATTGAAATAAAATTAAACCATATGTTAGTCCCGAAATGACCTAGTTTGTGTCGAGTGGACGTTAAACCCCATTTATCTCTCTCTCTCACGGCTAAGAACCCCTACTACGTCCAAGTAAATTATTGAAATGAACTTGAATTGTATGTTAATCCCAAAATGACTTTGTTTGCGTTGAGTGAACTTTGTGGACATTAAACCTCTTGAAGTTTGGTATTTATATTTTAGGCTATATTTAACTCTTTTTTTCAGGGTTCTGTTAATTTTAAATTTGGAGTTATTTTTGCCAAAGAAGGACAAACTTCTGATGATGAGTTTTACAGCAACGGTAATCTTTTTGGATTTTTAATTTTTTTACAAGATTGTATCACATCTTAGACCCATAATGACCTGGTTTATGATGAGTGGATGCCATTTCTCCTCTTGTTTAAATATCAGAATTTACTATAGCTCAATTATCAGGGCCACATCAAGGATATTTTGAAAGAAAGCTGTAGCCAATTTGCTTTGCAAATAGGTTTCTAAACGGAATGGCATTTCTATGGATTTAGTGCCACTAGGTAAAGAAGTCTTTAGATTAATAAAATATTGAATAGGAAGTAATATATTATTTAATCCCTTAGATAATATTAATATCTACTCCCCCATTTCCTGTTACATAAAGAGTGCATTAACTAATTTCCTGGTGTCTAAAAACTGATAAATGTAATGTTAATCCAGACCTAAGTAATCAATCACAATAATAACTCGCCTTTTTCGTCTGGCCTACTGCAATAAAGAGACAATTATCCTGATCGATTAAGGTGTTACAGAGCTTAAATTGTTACTTGGTGAACTTTTGGGGAATTAATGTAAGGTGAACAGACATGCACACACACTGATTAGAAATTAAAGAACAAGATTTATGTAACTACACATAGAGATCCCTGACATTAACAAATCTAATATACATAGAGAAAAAGTAAATTGTTGTTAATCAAGTCAATATGGTTGTTATGTAATGCTGGGGTTCCACAAGGATCTGTATTCTGGGCCCTGTTTTGCAAAAAATGTTAGGTTACGATTGTAGTGCACATATACTTTTAATTATATTTTAGTCCCAAAATGACCTAGTTTGTGTTGAATGGACTTAAACTCTCTCTCTCTCTCTCTCTCATATTATGATTAATATTGTTTTGAATTAGTGTAATTGTTAATTGTAATAATAATTCTTGACTTTCTTTTGATACATAAATTCTGGCTTCTCAGTCAATGAATCTTTATATGACATCTATTTTCTATTAATTTGATAACAAATCTGTACAATAGCTTGGCTGTTAATTCTGTTTTCAAATAAACAAAGTTTATCTAAGATGGTAATTTGATTTTAGACAAAAGTGTGCTTGAACTTGAACAAGGAAAAGGACATAGAACCTTTTTATTGCATCATTAATTGTTTATTTACAGAAAAAGGAACAGAAGAATTTGATAAGTTTCTTAGTTTTCTTGGTGATCGTATCAAATTGAAAGGCTGGGATAAATTTAAAGGTGGTCTTGATATTAAATGTAAGTATTTCTAATTTGCTTTTTGTATATTTATTGTATATTTGTCAACCACATATATGTATAATTTGTATAAGTATTTTTATCCATTCCACTATAATTCACCTACTCTTTCTAGAGTTTTATCCATTCCACTATAATTCACCTACTCTTTCTAGAGTTTTATCCATTTCACAATAATTAATCTACTCTTTCTAGAGTTTTATCCATACACCTACTCTTACTAGAGTTTTATCCATAAAGATATTACTTGAAAACAGTTTCTTTATACTATGCATGGAAGGTCTGTCATTGAGTCAAATGGTGTGGTTTCGATTGCCCAGTTGTACATGGAGTAGGGTCACCTGTCCTATCTCGTGGGTTTCTCCGGGTCCTCCAGTTTCCTCCCGCTGCTAAAGACCCCTACACGCAAATGAATTATTGAAATAAAATTGAACCTTATGTTGGTCATGCATCTCTTTCTCCCTTTTATAAATAGAGGGATAGTGATCTCTCTCGCCTGTCATATCCCGTGGGTTTCTCAGGGTCCTCCAGTTTCCTCCCGCTGCTAAACACCCCTACGTGCAAGTGAATTATTGATATAGATTTGAACCATATATTGGTCCTGAAATGACCTAGTTTGTGTTGAGTTGACGTTAAACACCATTTCTCTCTATCTCACTCTTTCTTGTATTTTATTTATTTACTGTAACACATAAAACTTAATGGAATCACTCATTAATCCTTGTTAAAATTGTAATCTGTGAACATTATTTGTGTATTTTAGCGAATACTACTGGTGAAGAAACTATATATACGGTATATGAAGGCCATGAAATATTATTTCACGTCTCAACCATGTTGCCTTACACACCAAATAATAAACAACAGGTAGGCCATATTTTTGATTTATTAACGAAAATATCCCCTAAATGTATAATACCCATGTTAAACTGGGGTGGCGTCCTTACTGCGACACTACGGTGACAGAAAATGGTCGTAGAGCTTGTCAAGATCACCATAAGTGTGGTGGAAACGCCAGATATCATACTGTGGCCTCCATGGTCGCCGAGTCACAGCGTTTGGTTTGAGCATGTTCTGCTCAACCTGGAAAGCTTTAAGAACGCTACTTTTTTCAAGTTTTTTATTTTTTGGGACATTTTTTTGCGACCATGTGCATTTTCTGGTCGCTGTATGATCGCAGCAGCCCAGTGATGCAAAACGGAGGGCTTACAAGGACAGTTGTCTAGTCGTTCGGATGGGACAAAAAAATGAGGTCCCATGTAAACATTGGCGTGCACGTAAAAGATTCCTCGGTAGTTGGAATTGGATATAAGAGTAGACCATAGTGCCACTGCCCAGGCAAAATTTCCCCTCATAGCACACATTCAGAGCAGAACACTACATGAAGATCTGACTGGTTGTAGTGAAAGGTCGCATCAGAGGTTGTACCCTATGACGTCAAACATTGATTAATCAATCAGCGTTGACGTTTCTAGTGGTTTACCCACAGTTCCATGCATTGCACGCCAAGCACCCGGCGTAACAGACCGTTTCATTGGCTGATCCCTCACATCGACCAGAACACAGGTTATATAACAACTCTTGCAGATCCTAATGTAGTAAAGACAAATAAAACAAATTTTTGAAATATATAAAACGAAACGAAATAGGACTATTGTTTTAATCAGATTGTTTTTACCTAAAAATATAATGGATGATGTCTTGATCAAACAATATTGGGGGGGGGGGTGGATGGCTGAATGGTTAGCGTGCGCGCGCTGTATCATAAAGTCTGTCATTGAGTCGACTGGCGTGGTTTCGAATCCCCGGTTGTATGTGACAAGGAGTAGGGTCGCCTGCCCAACCTCGTGGGTTTTCTCTGGGTCCTCCGGTTTCCTCCCACTGCTAAAGACCCCTAAGTGCAAGCGAATTATTGAAATAAAATTAAACCATATGTTAGTTCCGAAATGACCTAGTTTGTGTCGAGTGGACGTTAATCCCCATTTCTCTCTCTCTCTCTCAAACAATATTTCCTTATATTATACACAACTAATTTTCAGATTGACACATTCATTACAAATGAAATGAAATGGGGTTTAGTGTGCTGCTTTCCTGCTCCAACTGGGCTAATGAAGACGGGCATACACCATACAGTGTGCTATGAGGGAAATTTTGCCTTGATCATTTACATGCATGCCAATGTATACAGGGGACCTCAGTTTTTCATCCCATCCAAATGACTAAGACATCTGTCCTTGTTAGCCCCTCTCGTCCTGCACCACTAACAAGGGGATACCATGTCGGAAAATCCTGATGAACTTTGTCGACCAATGTAGGGATCGAACACCCGACCTCCAGGCTCGCGAGCCAGCATCTTACCCACTTAGCCACCGTGGTTCCCAGATTTATTACATATTATTTAGTGATGATTTTAATTGTTTGGCTTTGGTTGACATCATTTAGATATTTTGTGTTGGTTTTTACTGTTTGGCTATTTACAATAGATTGTTTTCACTATTTAGATTTCTATGTAATATATAATTGACTATTTTGTTTTTTCAGGTGGAGAGAAAAAGACATATAGGTAATGATATTGTAAACATTGTGTTTGTTGATTGTGATAGCGACAAAATGCCAACATTTAAACCAGCCATGATGAAAACAAGATTTACCCGTATCCTTTATACAATAAGATTCACTGGGTAGACTCAAGTGGTTCTCAAAATTTGTTTGCCAATCGGCACTCTTTGGAACACATGAAACAGTAGCAGCACACCTGGCTAAATATATATGAAAAATATTTTGAATTTTGCAAAATAAAAACATGGTAAGTCAGACAGCATACAACTGTAGAGACAGACTAGTCATAGAAACATAGAATGACTCAAACTAAATAAAGACAAACACAGCTATGAACTTACTTTATTGCAGTGTTTCGAATTTCATCAAATAGCTGGCTTCTTTAGTGAGAGATTTTCTGAGTGTGCCATTCAAAATTTTGCGGCACACTTAGAAAAAATCTTGTGGCACACTGGTTGAGATTCACTGTGTGTAGACCCAAGGGGGTTGGTGATAATTAACACTTGTGACGCAGTTCAATAGTACAAGAAATTGGTAACTATACAAAATTTTGATTTTATTACCATGCCGAATGACGATTAAAGGTGCATCAAGGCAGAACATTCTCATTTATGGCAAAAATATTAAGAATGAAGGACATTTAAAAATGATTTTCATGAAGATTAAGTTTCCCTTGAGTGACGAAGCACAATAGAAACTTCAATTTTAGTATTTTTGCACTATATAAATGGAGGATTATTATTATTATTATTAAAACCTTACGATATAATTAAATTCAACCTTAACGTTAAAATAGATATATTTGCTGTAGTTACCTACCATAGACACAACGATTCATATAGGTAAGAAAATAAAACTCATTCTCTACTTCTGGTCTTTTGAAATATAGCGAAGCCTGCACAGATAGCACATTCGGCTATTTAAACACTCAAAACTGTTCAATGAGTATTTTGTCTTGCCAAATAACAAAAAAGCTCAAGAACTCCCCCTATGCAGTTCATTTGCGAATACTCAAATTGGATAGTCTACAAGGGTCTGGGGGGGGTTGGAGGACCGAATGGTTAGCACGTGCGCGCTGCGCTGTATTATACGGTCTGTCATTGAGTCAACTGGCGGGGTTTCTATTCCCCGGTTGTACGCGACAAGGAGTAGGGTCGCCTGTCCAACCTCATGGGTTTTCTCTAGGTCCTCTGGTTTCGGCCCACTGCTAAAGACCCCTACGTGCAAGTGAATTATTGAAATAAAATTGAAACATGTGTTAGTCCCGAAATTACCTAGTTTGTGTGTGTGTGTGTGTCTCTCTCTCTCTCTCTCTCTCTCTCTCTCACAAATATAACTTTTCTGGCAAATCATCCAATTCTTTTCTGGCAAATCATCCAATTCTTTTCTGGCAAATCATCGTCCAATTCTTATTTTTTTATATTTGTAGATTCTATGTATTTTCCGAAGAGTCAACACCTTTATTTGGTCCGCCATTACCCTCTCCTGCGGTTTTTACAGACCATCAGGAATTCAGAGATTTTTTACTTGTTAAACGTAAGTCAGGGCTTTTTGTTCTGTTCACATTGTTATGAAATGAAATTGAGTTTAGCTTCCTACTGTTCTGCTCCGAACTAATGAAGACGGGTTGTTTTTAGTACTGGGAAATAAATGAGATACTGATCCAATGGTTAGGGCAGGGGTTAAGTGAAGGGGGTGCAATGACTTTTTTTCGGTTGTGAGTTTAGAGTGTTTGTGCCCCTTTAAATTATTGCTCCCCATCTGAAACGGAAAAAATCAGTTGTCCAACGGTTAGAGCAGCAGTTAGTCATGAGTTTATAGTGATTGTGCCCCCCTCTCAATGGAAAAATTGATGTAGTTGTCCAAAGCTTAATGCAGCGGCAAAGTGAAAGGGTTGCAATGATGCGCTTTGTGTCATTGCGTTATGGGTTTCGAGATTTAGCTTTATTGAGTCACGTTTCAAATGGAAAAGAAATCAATGTAGCTTTCGACTCAAATCAATTGCCATATATCTTTTCTGAAATGACTACAGATGTGAAAGCACTTGGTCAACTTATGTTGGTCAACTAGTGTCAAACATATACTATATTTAGAAATGCTAAAAATCGACTTTAGTCCAAAATATATTGATTAATTGTTGTTGGGGGGAGGGGATGGGGGGGATATACCATCCTACATACCCCACACCCTCTAGCAATATAAATATTGGGTTTTTGTGCCCCCCACAGTAACTTTCCCTCAGCTATATTAGCGGTCACTACCCCAGCTTTTTCCTAACTCGCATAGTTTCTCTATATATTATTTATTGTAACCTTGCCAATTGAATACTCCATTTCGTCTGCTACACGAATTCCAGTCTTGTAAGTATGAAGACAGATTTAGATCCACATTGATTTGTGTGTTTCGTCCAATATTGGCAAAAAGCAGGGGAAAAATATATTTGCAGACAATTTAATATTCAAAGACCATTATTTTGGCTATCAATTATTTAGAACATATTAATCAACAGAAATTCTGTTCTAGATTCAAAGCGAGGTGTCTAATTTGGCGTCAAGTAGGATTCCGATGAAAATCAGAATTTTAATGAAACTTCATATGTTTTTTTTTGTTTTTTTTAGTTATAAATGGTGAGAAGGCTGTGGTAAATAATCCTTTATTTGCCCAGAAGAGAGAACGAACGTTAGAGATGTTAATACGATCTTTATATCAAGAATATATGGCAGAGGTAAATAAGATAAGATAAGATGTTTATTGCATCAAAATGTCCATTAAGGACAGCATGCATACATACATGTATATATATATATATATACACTTAGATGTAGTTATATACATTTAATAATACATATAGACAACACATACATAAACACATAAGTCATATATTTAATAATACATATTACATAGACAACACATGCATGAACACATAAGTCATACATTTAATAATACATACATATTAATACAACCCATACATGAACACACAAGTAGTACATTTAATAATACATATTACATAGACAACACATGAACACACAAGTAATACATTCATACATGAGGTTAAATTACCTTGCTCAAAAATATTGCCGTAACAAGATGGGATTTAACATATTTGTTTACTGTATATAGAATGTGTGAACTAAATGGGATTTAAGATATGTGTTTAATACAAATAGAACTGGTGAATCAGATGGGATTTAGCACATTTGTTTTTTATATACATAGAACGGGTTGAACCAGATGGGATTTAATACATTTGTTTACTTTAAATAGAACGGGTAAATCAGATGGGATTAACACATTGTTTACTTTAAATAGAATAGGTGAACTAGATGGGATTTAACATGTGTTTACTATAAATAGAATGGATGATCCAGATGGGATTTAACACATTTGTTTATTATATATAGAACGAGTGAACTAGATGAAAGATAACATTTGTTTACTATAAATAAATGGTTGAACAAGATGAGATATAACATTTGTTTATTATAAATAGAACAGGTGAACTAGATGAGATATATAACATTTGTTTACTATAAATAATTTGAAATTCTCATTTACAGAATAATGTGTTATATCGCCGAGCATTTAGTGACGTCATTCAGGATTCACATGGCTCTAGACGTAAAGAAGAGGTCAGAAGAACTGAATTTGTTAGAGTTGGACAGGTAATTATAATGCTTCTCTTTATTTTAAACTTGATCTTTTCTGGAATAAAACGAGTCTGACTCTGACGTAAACTGTTGAAGAATGGCCAGTTTAATTCGATCAACAGATATTAATAAAATTGTAGAATGAACCCATCTTGCAAAACAAATTAAATCAACAGTATTATTTTCAACTTAAAAATAAATATCATGTCTCTCATTTATTTAAAGTAGTATATATATCTAAAAATATATCTTTTAAGATTAAAGTAGCCTATAGATCTATAAATGTATGTTTTTTAGATGTTGAAACTAAAGTAGTCTATATATAATAATAATCCTCTATTTATATAGCGCGAAAATACTAAATCTAAAGTAGTTTACATGTATCTATAAATATGTTTTTAGACAATAAAACTAAAGTAGTCTACATATCTATAAATATGTTTTTTAGACGTAAAAACTAATGTAGTCGATATATCTATAAATTTGTATTTTTAGACATTAAAGCTAAAGTAGTCTATATATCTATAAATATGTTTTTAGACGTTAAAACTAATTTAGTCTATATATCCAAATTTGTATTTTTAGACATTAAAACTAAAGTAGTCTACATATCTATAAATATGTTTTTTAGACGTTAAAACTAAAGTAGTCTATATATCCAAATTTGTATTTTTAGACGTTAAAACTAAAGACGATATTAAAGGGAGATGCACCAACAAGTTTAGTTACGACAGGATTATTGAAAAGAGAGGTAAGTTATATATATTTATATGTACAAATGACATCTTCTGTCAGACTGACAGGTTTGACTATGAAAAGCCACCAGAGCTTAGGAACGGCAACCCAATACAGATTGTTATTTCATTGTTTATTTCTCGTAACAAGCCAAAAATAGGTAAACAGTGGTTGTTATTTTGTTTATTCATTGTTCCGATTGTCTACACTATATATAAGATCTAACATATATTAAGAACAGCGGCTGTTCAGACTGAGTCTGCAGTAAATTCATGGATAGATCTGTGCGAGAGGTTTTGGGGGGTGGGTGGGGGAGCGGTACTCTAATTTGTCATATATCCAAAATATTCAGTTCCCAAACACGTTCACTTGGGAATTCGTTCATTGGGTCTTAAGACATAATTCAAAACCACTTTTGTATATATATATATATATATATATATATATTATTACAAAAATAAGGCCCACCCTTTGCAACATTTGCTTTCAAAACTTCCTTCTGAATTTTGAATTTATAGTCCCCCCCCCATCTTGGGAGTCATTAAAAAATCTGCATTTTCATTGGCTGTTTATAACATCACATCATATTGATGATAATCATAGTCTGGTAAAGCATAAAATACTACTGAATATGAAAACAAACAAAACAAATGAATTAAAAAAAAACATCTTTAGTTTAATCGAATCCTAGGCAAAGTTTGAATAGTGCCAAACCTTTCTGTTACATGTTGATTCCTAGGCAATGGTCGAATAGTGCCAAACATTTCTGTTACAAGTCGATTCCTAGGCAATGTTCGAATAGAGCCAAACCTTTCTGTTATATGTCGAATCCTAGGCAAAGTTCGAATAGACCCCAACCTTTCTGTTGCATGTTGAATCCTAGGCAAAGTTTGAATAGACCCAAACTTTTCTATTGCCTGACTATTAGGTTTAAATATTTATTCTGCTTTAAACAATTTATGTTCTTATATAGCACATGTCCAATGTTTATTTATTTGAATAATAATGTTTACTTGTAGCCATGGGAACCACAGCGATGTTTTCCAGATTTACCTTACTCTATTGTATGCGGTGATTCGTGGGGTAAGTTTTCGTGATTACAGTTTATTAGTGTCATTTTTGTCATACTCTATATGTTTTTGTAATTTCTTAATATACGGTATGTATTTGTCATACTCTATATGTTTTTGTAATTTCTTAATATATGGTATATATACTCTTCAAAAGAAGTAGGGGATATTAAGAAACAATACAAAACTGTGGATATGCACTGCTGTTTTTATTAGAGGTAACAGTGTATGTTAATAACAGGCCAATTGCCTACACTTGAATATAAACAGTTCATATGGGCGGTTTATCTGACGGCCCCATTTCAAAGAGATACACTGTCAAAAGTGAAAATGGACGTTTTTTGTCTTAATAATGAGTAATTGCTCCACCAATCCTCAGACATTCAGCAATTCGTCGTGGCATGCTCCTAATCAACCATCCAATCACGATTTGGGGCAATCTGACCCACTCATCTTGCAGTGCCATGGCCAATTCTTGCAGTGTTGTCGGTTGACGTTAACGTCGACGTACACGTCTCCCGATCAAATTAAACGTAACACACTAAATCTTATGCAAGAACCGATAGGAAAGCAAACATGGATAGGATAAACCAGCAGGCAGCAGTTTTCATCAACCATTCCTTGAAGTGTCAAATTTGACAATGAACACCTCTCACGTGTATGGCCCTATTGCGTGTCGCACATGTAGCTCAGTGGTTCTGTTGGGGCAATAAGTTCTTCATCTGTGAACATACTCTCAAAGCATGTCAAGTGTCCATGACTATTTATCATATCACAACCTGCATAGGTATTTGCATTTCAATATCCCTTACTTTTTTTGAAGCATATATAATATTAACCACTGCGAAAGTTAACAAAGTTCAGCGATTTGATAGTTCTTTGAACTAAAAAAACCCCAATAATATCTCAAAAATAATTTCTGTACACTTGTATTGCAATGTCACCTTAATCCAACATTCGTTTAGATTGTCTGTTATCCATTTACAGTGGGGTTGTATGGTTGAATGGTTAGCAGGTGCGCGCTGTATCATAAGGTCTGTCATTGAGTCAACTGGCGTGGTTTCGAATCCCCAGTTGTTCATGACAAGGAGTAGGGTCATCTTTCCAACCCCGTGGGTTTTCTCAGGATCCTCCGATTTCCTCCCACTGCTAAAGATCCCTACGTGCAAGCGAATTATTGAAATAAAATTGAACCTTGTTTTTGTCCCGAAATGACCTATTTTGTGTCGAGTGGACGCTCTCTCTTTCCATTTACAATTGCTTTTGAACTCTCTACAGGCTCTGCATTATTCAAGAACATTTTGAAATTATCTAGGTGTGTTGAGTCGAAGGGAAGACCACTATTGCAGCACATGCACATGCTGGCTAATAATATATTGTTAAGAGCCCTGTAGCCCTAACAGGAGTATAAGGAACAACTATATTTAAAATCAACATTTACACAAATCAAAGAGATAGTTTCTCGTTTGTAATTTTAAGAAAAAACTTTTCCCCGCATTTCATTTTCATGCACTAAAATTTGTTTACACCATAATAAAAATAAAAAAAACAAAATGCTATTATGAACAGCCGAGATGTGAATTTTATTTTTATTCATTCATTCAGATCCCTAATGTTTTCTTCAGAAACATGTAGCGTTTACAAAGCTAACAATTTGCACTGTACTTTTACACATGAAGAGTATTAGGAATGATGTCTCCAAAACCATTAAAAAGATTGTTTGAGCTTCAAGATGTATTTTTTATGAAGCTAATTCTATCTGTTAATGGATTGAAATAACACAATCCGCTTTATAGAACCTTTCTAAAGACATTATATAATTATCGGATGTGACAGGCAAACTACATTAAGATTATATTAATCAACAAGAAAGATATCCTAACCCTAAACCGCAAGAAGAGAGATAATCTTTTATTTAGAATTTAGTATTTAAATAGCCTTTTAAATGTATGTGTGGGTTTTTCGGAATGTTTGTGTGGGTTTTCGGAATCCTGACCCTAAAACGCAAGAACAGATTATTATTTTTTTTTTCGAATTTAGTATTTAAATAGCCTTTTAAATGTATATGTGGGTTTTTCAGAATGTTTTCAGAATTTATGTGTGGGTTTTCAGAATGTATGTGTGGTTTTTCAGAATGTGTGTGTGGGTTTTCTAAATAGCAAATCAATAATGACATATAAATCCCAGATGCCTCCTTACTTTGGAGCGCAACTAAGCCTGTGTCAAGATCAGGAAAGTCTAAGGCTATGTCGGAATGTCCAGATGATCAAACTTTCTTTCAAAATAATTATGGTCATACATTTGTATGATGATTTTCATAGACAAATGTATGTCGTCCATATAGACATGTCCATTGACAAATGGATTATGTGCATAGACAAATGGATCATGTGCATAGACAAATGGATCATGTGCATAGACAAATGGATCATGTGCATAGACAAATGGATCATAGCCATAGACAAATGTATCATTTCCATAGACAAATGTATCATTTCCATAGACAAATGTATCATTTCCATAGACAAATATATGATCGACAGAACTGTTTTTCCAACATGTTTGATACTAGATAGCGAATGGGAAGCCGATTTATATAAGGCATTGCCATAAAGCATTATCTTGGCATGGCCCTTATTATTATGTATTAAGAAGTCCATGCAAGGTCTTGGTATTCTAAAAATAAGCTTATTAAATTTCTGATTTAATAATACTGTACAATAAAAGACAGAAGATAAATTTACCTGGTGCCAAGATAGTAATATAATCCAGTTTGATTAAGTATTCTATATTAGATATAATCTTGTTGTCTGGGACATTAGATATGGTGTTATCCAATATGACATAAAACTGAATGTATGGTTGCCAAGGATACAGTGTTTTCAATATTTAACAAATCTTTGGTAAGGTTTCATATGGTAGCTCTCATATAAAAACATGAAAACAAAATGCATCAGAAAACCCACATTAAATAAAGTGAATCCAAAGTAGAAACATTAGCTTACCTAAAAAAACATCCCCACTGATGAGGTTTTCCAAAATAAAACTGGGAATCCATATGTACTTATGCACACATGATGTTATTTATGGTTTAATGGTCGGATGCAAGACATTAAGTAATAGTGTTGTATCAATATATTACGCAATGTGTTTAGCTCAAGACCATTAAACAACCTAAAATACAGACACTATCCCACATGCGATTTTTCAATAAAATATGTCACGCGAGTCCAATATTTCATCTAGTATAGATAATGTACAATTGGCAAGTTGGCCGTACATTATTGAAAATAATGGCACGCCAATATCAAAGGATGACATCACATCTGTATTTTAAGTTGGTGCTATGGCTGTTTGCATTTATGCACGCATACTCGATGAAATTGTCTGTGGTATGCAGTAAGTTAAAACGCTGTACACAGCAAAGTTTAAACTTTAATTTACACAATACTTTATGAGTACAAAGCTTATACTATGTACACACCGATTCCTTGCTTAAAGATGCATTATGTAAGAGCTAAATCTGTCGTTTTTCTGATTTCAAATGTTATATAAATTAATCACATAACATGCCTATAACCAACTCTCTAGAATATTGGATGGCCGAGATTTAAATGGATTTTAACACCCATGAGAGTTAAAAATTTAATAATAAACTGGATAATCCAGACTTAATCTTGTTTATCAAGTACCGTTGCTATGATAATAAATGGTCTAGACTACATCAAAACAGTCATAATTCGCCCAGAATAAAGAAATTTGAATGAAATTTTCAATAATTATATTCCTTTTCCATTCTCTATTTTTGAACTATTATAGCAATAATATCATTATCTAAATATCTAGCTCTTTATCTAAATATGGGGGGTGGCGTTGGATGGCGTAATTTTTAGCACGTACGGGCTGTATCATAAAGTCTGGTGTGGTTTAGATTCCCCTGTTGTATGTGACAAGGAGTAGGGCTGCCTGTCCTATCTCGTGGGTTTTCTCTGAGTCCTCCAGTTTCCTCCCTCTGCTAAAGACCTATACTCATTAGCGAATTATTGAAATAAAATTGAACCATATGTTAGTCCCGAAATGACGTTTGTGTCGAGTTGAGGTTAAATCTCTCTCTCTCTCTCTCTCTCTCTCTCTCTCTCTCTCATATCTAAATATTACATAGTGCATCTTCAAAAGAACAATGATTATGGAGGAGACTGTGTGATCGGGATTCTATAACCAGATATAATTTATATAAATATATAATTAACGTATGTATTTTTATATTTCAGGGGATAAATTAATTATAGCGACAACCGATGGTGTCATGGTTGTAGAAGGTAAGATATGAATTTATTTATATTTAATAATTTATGTTATTTATTTGCATTTGGAGGGTTTAGTGCAAATTAAGAGTTAATGGTATTTAATAATTTATGTTATTTATTTGTATTTTAGAGGGTTTAGCGCTAAGAGTTATATTGGTATTTAATAATTTATGTTATTTATTTGTATTTTAGAGGGTTTAGCGCTAAAAGTTATATTGGTATTTTTTATAATTTATGTTATTTATTTATATTTTAGAGGGTTTAGCGGCAAGAGTTATATTTGATAAATCAGTCATAGTAAAACAAATAAATGTTATAGAAGCACATGGCTTACTGATATTGAGAACAGACAAAGGTAAGTGTTATCAACAAGTCTGATTGTTTAATCATTGTGTACCAAATCACCCATTGAGGTAAATCTAGAAATACCTGTTTCACCAATTTTGACCAATTGGTTACTGAGTTGAATATCAGTGGTCATGCCCATTGACCGTATCTCTGGAACATTAGTATGATCAAGCTAAAATTAGAAACATCCAGAATTTTCAACCCAAATGTACAAATAAACCAGATTTCAGCCGAATTGCAACCGAATGAACCAATAATACGTTCGTTTAAAGTTAAGTTTAATTGTAAAAATAAGATTTAGGTTGCTTTAAAAACTGTTGTTAGTCCGACCTGAAACGAATATTTATTTGTGATATTTCTGTTCTGAGGCAAAAGCACCTTTTGAATTGGTGGGTTTGGTGAATTCCATTCAATATTCTTTCACTTGAAATATTCACAAATCTTATTAATTTTTTTAGGTAAAGATGGTAAAATCTATGTGTTCCGTTTGAGTGATTTTGAAGGAGAAGAATCTGAAGTTCCAAGGAGCAAATCCGATTGTCGAGAACATCGTCTGGAAAGGGCAAAAGGTACGTTTTACTTCTTTGTAAAATTTGTGTGTTTTTCAAACACCTTATCAGCAAGTCAATCAGAGTATTTGAAGATCTGTATCCTCATATGCATGTATTGTCAAAATTAGGGACCATTCTGTCAGATAGGACTACCTACCTGTTTTTAAATTATAACATGAAAAGATGGAATATATCATAGAGTTAACCATAAAAATAAGAATTGAGTCATGAACTTCTCCATAAAATCATGAAATTAACCATGAAATCGTGAAGTTCTCCATTGAAAACATGAAGTTAACCATGAAATCATGAATTTAACCATGGAAACAACAATTGAGTCGTGAAAACATGCACTTCTCCATAAAATCATGAAATTAACCATGAAATCGTGAAGTTCTCCATTGAAATCATGAAGTTCTCCATTGAAATCATGAAGTTAACCATGGAAACAAGAATTGAGTCGTGAAATCATGCAATTAACCATGAAATCATGAAGTTAACCATGAAATTAGCCGTCAAATCATGAAGTTTACCATGAAATTATGAAGTAAATCATGAAGTTAACCATGAAATCATGAAGTTAACCATGAAATCATAAAATTAACCATGAAGTGATGAAATTAACCATGAAATCATAAAATTAACCATGAAGTGATGAAATTAACCATGAAGTGATGAAATTAACCATGAAGTGATGAAGTTAATCATGAATTTAACCATGAATTTAATCATGAATTTAACCATGAAAACATGAGAAACATAAGAAGTATAGATGAATGCATGAAGTTAACGCAGAAAAGAGATTTATGTTGTAAAATCTTTTTAACGTTTATATTTATTTAAACAATGTATTGTTTCATCTACAAGTTTGAGTTATACGTTTTTCTAGGTTGTCATCTGTATGCCTTAAGTCGACCATGTGGAAGTCATCTTAGAATGGTCGTGGCTGTAGGCAAGAAGCTGCTATTATTTACATGGAAACATTCAGCTGCCTGGTCTGCCTGGTGTCCCTCAGTAGATCTTGATACGATTGATGGTTTTACATTTGTTAGGGTAAGTAAAATTGTCATGATAAGGAGCCATGGTGGCTTTAGGGGTACTGTTTTAGGTTTGTTAGTGTAAGTACAATTGTCATGAGGAGCCATGGTGACTTGATGTGTATATATGGTTTTACGTTTGTTAGTTTTAATACAAATCTCATGATAACGAGTCATGGTGGCTTTGTGTGTAGAGCACTGGCTCACGTCCTTACCGAAAGAACCCAGGATCTTTATCCTTGGTGGTTGAGAAAAGTTCTTTGGAGTTTTCAATCTGCTGTCCCCTTATCAATACAGCAGGGTTGAGGCTCGGACAAGGAATTGTTTTTAAATGATAGGAAAATGGAGGTCCCACCCTTTTCTTATGGACATGCACCTAAAAGAACATTTGACAGATGGCATTCCCTCATTGCAAACTGCATGACATATACCTGTCCTCATTTGCCCATTGCTATCTTCATTAGCCTAGTCGGAGCAGAACAGTAGGATGTTAAACCCCATTTCATTTCATTTGCCCGTTGGTTTCAGAAAAGTAAGACTTTAAATTTCGAGTTTTGATACAAAACCTATTTAGGGTGAACTTGAGGTATTCAAAACTTATTTAACAGATTATCTGCTTACGATTAAACTCCATTATACATTGATAATATAACTATAATGTTTAAATGTTTCTTTTACAGGAATTACAAGCGTTTGAACAACCTCAGATGATAACGTTAATAGATGGTATAAAGGGAGATAACCAGATTTGTATTGCTTACAAAAATCAATTTGATCTGATAAACGAGAAGAACGGTGATACGCTTCAACTTTATAAAATAGACGCTAATAAAGTAAGTAATTTTTTATATACAAGCAGTGCTGGATTAACCATAACGCAAATAAGGTTCCTTGCCTTAGTGCCAGCCAAAATTTCAGGCCACAAAATAATAAAGTAAAACTTTTTTGATAATTATCAGGTGGTGACAAAAATACTAGCCTATATTTTTATGTAAATAAATTGCATCCTTCTTCATCTACGTGTTTGTCCATACAAGGCAGTGAATGGGAATGTGTAGGCTACTTATAGTAAATACAGTACTGTCAATGTTCTGAATTTGTTTGTTATAAATTTTCTGTTGCTAAATTTAACTTAATTCCTTTTGTCAATGAGCCCAACATATCTGTATTATCAGGCCACCTATCAAAATGTGCCTTAGGGCCAGCAGAGCCTTAATCCAGCACTGTATACAAGGCCATGAAAAAGAAATATTCTGGTTTTCAGATTCTCCTGCATCACTTAAAAAGGGCCGCATGAGATGTTTTAATTTTTAAAAAATTAAAAATAAAAACACTGATGTTATATAATTGCTGCATGTTAATATAGGAAGTAACTCCATTAAAAAAAAATTAAATAAAAAAAATTCGAGCCACGGTGGCTCAGTGAGTAGGATGCTGGAGGACAGCTGTCTAGTCACTCAGGTGGTACTTAAAACCGAGGTCCCGTGTACACATTGGCATGCACGTAAAAGATCCCGTGGCAGTTGGAATTTGATGTAAGAGTAGACCATAGTGCCGCTGCCCGGGCAAAATTTCCCTCATAGCACACTGCATGGTGTATGCCAGTCTTCATTAGCCCTGTCGGAGTAGGACATTAAACTCCATTTCATTTCATTTAATTAACCACACCTACCTTTAACACAGGTGTCTAATTGATATTGTTTAATTGACCACACCCATCCAGTAACAATTGACCACACTCGTCTATTAACACAGGTGTCTAATTGATATTACAGGTAAATCTGGTGTCTGCTATAGATATCTATGAAGACGATGAAGCTGAACTGATGTTATGTTATAATCGTATGTATTCTTTCTATTTATAACTATTTTTCAAAGATTTCCATCTCGGACATCTTATATGGTCAGGAACATTTCAAATTGAACACATTATTTAAGAGGGAAAATATACAATGTAATTTGGTATAGTAAGAACAAGTAGAATATTGTGTATATAAATGCATAGATACCAGTGAATGAGACTAAATTATGGACTACATAGACGTTTAACTCATCATAGACTACATAGACGTTTAACTCATCATAGACTACACAGACATTTAACTCATTATAGACTACACAGACATTTAACTCATTATAGACTACACAGACATTTAACGCATCTTAGACTACACAGTCATTTAACTCATCATAGACTACACAGACATTTAACTCATCACAGACTACACAGACGTTTAACTCATCATAGACTACACAGACATTTAACTCATTATAGACTACACAGATGTTTAACTCATCTTAGACTACACAGCTATTTAACTCATCTTAGACTACAAAGCCATTTAACTCATCATAGACTATACAGACATTTAACTCATCACAGACTACGCAGACGTTTAACTCATTATAGACTACACAGACATTTGATTCATCTTAGACTACACAGTCATTTAACTCATCACAGACTACATAGACTACACAGACAGTTAACTCATCATAGACTACACAGACATTTAACTCATCTTAGGCTATACAGACATTTAACTCATCTTAGACTACACAGACACTTAACTCATCTTAGATTACATATAGACTCACCATAGATATGTTTTTCACTTGCAGATGTCAGTCATTTTCAGAAGTTAAAAGAAGAAAATTGTCACGATTTTGACTTTTTATGGAATTCGGAACCTCAATCTATAGGTAAGTCTGATATTAATCTCATGTTTTGTCTGTTAAAGTTACTGTTTTTTTTTCCAATCCTAGTTATACTAAACTAATAAACTTGTGATCGTTAAACCAGTTTGTAACTTTGTTGCCCGAATGGGGCAAAAAACAAACAGTGTGCTATTTATCTTTGAACTTTTTTTGTTTTTTTTGTTTTTTTTCCAAACTAGTCCGCTTAAAAATGGGTATGGGTATGTGCAGTAAGTTATCTTCCTGACAAATGGACAACATGTACCCATGCGTAATTAACTCTAATCTCTAATCGACAAGGTCAAAATAGTTCAGCTGACTTGGCTTACTGTAGGTCATGGGAACGCTAAGCTCTCGTAGCTTAAGGGGGGTTGGATGGCCAAATGGTTAACAACTGCATGTTGTATCATAGGGTTTATCATTGAGTCAACTGTTGTGGTTTCGATTCCCCGGTTGTTCGTGACAAGGTGTAGGGTCACCTGTCCAACCTGCTAAAGACCCCTACACGCAAGCAAATTATTGAAACAAAATTGAACCATATGTTAGTCCCGAATTGACCTAGTTTGTGTCGAGTAGATGTTAAACCCCATTTCTCTATCTTTCTTATGGCTTAAAAATGTTGCTCAGGGTTGGAATGGGATATAAATGTAGATGTTTCATTTCGAATGAACATAAAAACTTTTCTTCAAGATGTTCATATAAATCCGGATATTTTATTTTTAATGAACATATATTATTTTTTTTCAGTTTGTGCCTTTCCCTATGTAATGGCCTTTACCTCTGATACGATAGAAATACGACTTATTATAAACGGTAATCTTGTTCATACGATGACCATGCCTGATTTAACCCTTATTACATCCAAGGTTAGTAGAAATTTATTAGACATAAATTAGTCTACATAACTTTTAAAGTTACATTATGTAAGATTTAGATAAAGAGCTGACCATTCTTGCTATAATAGCTCAAAAATAGATGATGTAACATGAAAATATTGAAAAATTCATTTAAATTACTTCATTCTGAGCCAAGTTAGCACTGTTTGAGGTTTTGATAAGATGTGTCCATTGTGGTATATTTGAGACTTAGCCTCGCTGTCCCATTTTTAAATTAAATTTTTAAATGATGAACCGTTCTAATCTAGTTAAAATCTTGTGTATCTAATGCCATCGAGAGTTGATTATGGACTTGTTTTGTTAAGTAATGTCTAATTAATAATTTAGGTAACATTTCAAGCCTAATAAAGAAAGACCTACAATAGGCAGATTTAGCTCTTGCATAATGTATGTTTAAGTGATCAGTTATAATCTTGATTCCAACTGCCAAGGTATCTTTCATGTTCACATCCAATTTGTTTCTCATCTCATTCAAAATACAGAAAAATAATATGTCAATGGTGATTCAGACCTGAAAAATATCTTAACCTTAACTTAACCAATTACAAAAGTTTTTATTCTATTTCGTTGTTTTTCAGTGTGACATTTACTTCGCATCTTCTGCAGCAGGTACTAATACACCAACGGAAAAAACACGAGAAAAGGAATCATTTTCTCCACCCCCTTCGCCATCATGTAAGTTTAAATGTTTAAAATACTTGTATATTGTAAACAGCACAGCTGGTGTCTCTCCTGGTATCCATCATCATTCTCTACCAAGTTCTTTTGATCTCCCATAACCAAGTCTCGCAATTGGCTTAGTCGTGGCAGGGGTGTAGCCAGTTTCAGGGAAGCAAGCACGTATACAATTTCAATTCATCATACATTTTTAGTTTGTTTCTAAAATCAAGGAGGTTGATCAAATAAAATAATAAATCCAGAAAGTTCTTACAAAACCAAGGGGAGTTGGATGGCCGAATGGTTAGCGTGTGTGCGATGTATCATAAGGTCGGTCATTGAGTCAACTGGCTTGGTTTCGAATCCCTTGTTGTATGTGACAAGGAGTAGGGTCGCCTGTCCAACCTCATGGGTTTTCTCTGTGTCCTCCGGTTTCCACCCACTGAAATGAAATTGAACCATGTGTTAGTCCCGAAATGACCTAGTTTATGCCAAGCTGCACATTAACTCTGCTTCTATGGGTAATTGAGGTAGAATGCTTAGACTTTGTGAAGATGTTCATTAGGTAAAATGTCTTGACTGAGTTTGATGTCAATCATGGTAATTAAGCAGCACTAAGCAATTTGATTTGTCGATGCTTTGGGACACGATAACTTTGATTCTGATTGAAAAGGAATGTTGAAACATGCTAATTGGTAATTAATCTTTTTATTTCATATTTCAGCGAAACACGGTCCAGTGGTGAATATCTATAAGATACCTTTAACCTGTTTAGCTGGACAGATGACGTCGGAGAAAGCAGCACAGACAGCATCACCTTCCCATGGTTCATTGCTTCTGGCACCGATTGTCAGCAATGGTGACAGATCTCCCGGATTAGGCAAGAGAAGTCCATTGATAAGAACGAAGAGAATTGCCAGTGCTGGTGTGACAATAACGACGACACCGACCGATAAGGTTGGCCTCCTCAATCATGATCATCTTAACTAACTCCTGTAACTATAATTTAGTGTTGTATATCTAAAAATAACCACTTCCCTTTCTCTATACATTGGTGTTCACTCTATAAGCCTTAAAATATATGGGGTGGGGGTAATTAATGGCCGAATGGTTAGCACGTGCACGTTGTATCATAATATCTGTCATTGAGTCAACTGGCGTGGTTTTGATTCCCCGGTTGTATGTGACAAGGAGTAGGGTTGCCTGTCCAACCTCATGGGTTTTTTCCAGGTGCTCCGGTTTCCTCCCACTGTTGAGTGGACATTAAATCCCATTTCTCTCTCTCTCTTTTAAAATATATTTTTTTCTTTTCAAATGGGTGATATCAGAAATTCTTCCGTCATTAATTATGGTATTGGCGATAAGTATGGGTGTGTGGGTATGTGGCTCTAATAGGTTAGTTAATCCTAAAACTTTTGTTAATTACATGATGTCACATACAGTGTCTTGAATCGCGAGTAAGGTCCTTAGACCTCTTTAATTGCACCTGTATTGGGAATTACATATTCAATATTATGATAAAATTTAAAATTAACCGACTCAAAAACAGTATGATATTTTTATTATTTTATGTCGTAATCTATGTAGATGTTTTACAATTTAAACTTTTGCATGTTGTGATTTCTTGGTTTGGGGCTGGTATTAATCAGAGAATTGATATCTTAACACTATAGATTAATTTAATGGCATTTAGCAATTAAACCGGACATGCACAGAACACCTCAATTATATAAAATTAGAAATGTATGAGTGGCGGGTAGCCGTCCCAGATTTCCCTCATGAAGCAACTAGTTTTGTTCATTTCGAACTCATCAGACTTAAATGAAACACTTCTGCAACGGACGGCTATACAATTTCATAAGATTTAGTCCCGAAGGGTCCCCACATTTATAACCTCAATTTTATAGAATACAATTAGTACAATTCCTGATTATTACTGTGCATTTTGACTAGAGATTAGGACTGTGTAGTCTTTATCATATTGGAAGACTTGATTTGTACTTCAGGCAGGGCTCACGGTGGCTAAATGGGTGAGGCGCTGGCTCGCTAGCTTGGATGTCGGGTGTTCGATCCCTGCATTGGCTGAGAAAGTTCATCCAGATTTTCCGGCGTGGTTGCTCCTTGTTAGTGAAGTCCATCTTCATTAGCCCAGTTCGGAGCAGAAAAGTAGGACGTTAAACCCCATTTCATTTCATTTGTTCTTCAGTCTAACCAAATTTCAAAGAATTTGATAGTAGATAATGAATGAAAAATATAACTAAACTGTAATTTTACGACTAGTTAATAAATGAAATATAAAGAAAGGCTTTAAAAGATATTGAGAATCTATTGCAATGTAAAGAAAATGGTTCAATACTAAATAATGGATACAATTGAAACAATCTCAATAGTAGATAATGAATCAATTATAAAGAAACTATTTCAATAGTTGGTAATGTATAAATTATGAAGAAACTATTTCAATAGTAGATAATGAATCAATTATGAAGAAACTATTTCAATAGTAGATAATGAATCAATTATGAAGAAACTATTTGGTTAGTAGATAATTAATGAGGCATCAATATCAGAACTTCTCGAAATCAAATTTAACTTCATCGAAAAATTACTTTTAATGGCAACCAATGACCACAGATTCTCTGCCATCAAAGACCAAACAGTCCATGACCAATCATCTTAAAGCTCCAAATGCCACTTTTTTTTTAAAAAAGAGATTGAAACCAGCAATGATATAAATCCATAAATGTAAGGCACCAACAATGATATAATGATATAAATCCATAAATGTAAGGTTACGGTATGTCCATTTACGGTATGATTTTACTACACCGTCACTTTTTTTTAATAAAAAGATTCGAACCAACAATGATATAAATCCATAAATGTAAGCTTAAGTTATGTCCATTGAAAGTTAATGTCTGTTGATTTTAAAATGTAATAAAACATTTGGTATTTTTTTCTTAAAATTTTAGCCAGCCTAATGATCCTAAAGTTTATTTTGCACATAATTAGATAATCAAAACATCAGTGTGGACATAAAGAAAAGTTTAGATTTTTGAGGTGTATGTTTGTGAAGATCTGACTTTTAATGCTCGTGACAAGGAGTAGGGTCACCTGTCCAACCTCGTGGGTTTTCTCCGTGTCCTCCGGTTTCCTCCCACTGCTAAAGACCCCTACGCAAAGCGAATTAGTGAAATAAAATTAAACCATATGTTAGTCCCGAAATGATCTAGTTTGTGTCGAGTGGACGTTAAACCCCATTTCTCTCTTTTTCTCTCTCTCTCTCTCTCTCTCTCTCTCTCTCTCTTTTTATACAGGGTTTGCCATGAACCAAACACAAGCAACTAATCCTGTGCACACTAACTGTAAAGCCAAATTGTAGTTCTTCACTCATCATTTTGCACATGCACGTCAAAGAACCCTTGGCAGTGCTTCTTATAGCACACACTGCATAGTAGCTCTTTCAATAAACCTGTTACATATAGAAATCTTTAAAGTCTTGTGTAACACATTTCTTCTGAACTATTTCATATAATGTTGATATTATGTTTGTATAATGTTGATATTATGTTTGTATAATGTTGATATTATGTTTTATAATGTTGATATTATGTTTGTATAATGTTCATATTATGTTTTATAATGTTCATATTATGTTTGTATAATGTTGATATTATGTTCATATAATGTTGATATTATGTTCATATAATGTTGATATTATGTTCATATAATGTTGATATAATGTTTTGCAGGATAAAGATCGTCATGATTCCTCGAGTTCTGATTCTGGTATAACCATGTTGAGAACGAACGAGTTAAGCCCACCCCCCAGTCCATTTCAACATGTGCAGAGTTCCGGTGATTCCGACCAAGATGGAGATATCATATAAAACGCTGGCCATAATATATCTACCGAACATGTGAATCTGTCTACCAAACATGCTCAAACTGTTGATGTACATTGATTCCTGCAGATCTATTTACTGCTAGGTCTAAAACATTTCAACAGTAGATCTTCGACCCTGAATGGAAACAATTCGGGATGTTCAATGTTTAAATCCGTTTTCATCACCTTGGTAACCCATCAACTAAAGGAACTATTTTAACATCACCAAATTGTGATTACATTTATTCCCCCATGTGGCTTAAATGTTTAACGGAAAGAAAGTATTTGGAGGTTTCTATCATTCCTATCATGTATATTTTGATGGCTGTATATTTGTGATGCTGGATTATACACTGAATCATTTCTCTGTGTTTGTTTCTGAACCCCAGAACATAAGGACGATTTGGAAAGGTGCCTCAACTGTGTTTGTTTCTGAACCCCAGAAAATAGGGACGATTTGGAAAGGTGCCTCAACTGTGTTTGTTTCTGAACCCCTGAACATAAGGACGATTTGGAAAGGTGCCTCAACTGTGTTTGTTTCTGAACCCCAGAGCATAAGGATGATTTGGAAAGGTGCCTCAACTGTTATCATGACATTAATAAAGTCATTCAGATGAGTATGACATACATGATTATATGTTTACACTGAAATGCATATAATTTAAATGAAGAGGCATTGTAAAGGAATACTAATTTCAAATATGGACCTCGGGTGATACATGTTTTGTATGCTTAGACTGAAATGAATAGTTTTTAAAAATGATGCAGGGTCAACACAAATACAAATTTGGAAACTGATCATCTATATAATTTAATGATGGGGCATTGTAAAGGAATACAGATTTCAAATATGGACCTGGGTGATACTTGTTTTGTATGCTTAGAGTGAAATGAATAGATTTTAAAAATGATGCAGTGTCAACACAAATACAAATTTGGAATGTGATCGTCTCCAACATATATCTGTTACTTGTATGTATAAACTGAAATTGATACGTTTTAAAAAGAAAATGGTGAATTGTAAAAAAATTGGAGTATTGACTTCTTGTGGTATATTTAAATGTGACCAAATCGGCACCTGATTTACCTGTAGATATAAGATTGTATACCGGTGATAACACACCTGGTTTCACCTAGTTTATTCTAGTCTATTTGGTGATATATATAACACGATTATTAGTCCCATGATCTGTGTGCTAATTAGTAGATGAATTTGATAACATATAATCCATCAAGTGTGTGTATGTCCTGTAAATAATAACAATGACCCACTATAATGTAAACAAACTATTTAAACTATTATATAATGGTGTAGTTGGACTTAAACCCCATTTTATGTCATTTATATTATGGTTTATAGGGAGTATATGTAGACTGCCACTGCTTCATAGATGTGCATCGCAGTGCAACATGTGTCTCATCAGTTAATGTTTTGGAGTATATATATTGTATTATAGACAGACGCAGAAAAGGTTTCAGGACCATTAAAAAGATTTTAAATATTTTGTTCAAGATATTGTAGATGATGAAATCGTTGATAAAACGATAACAGATCAAACAATATGCTGTTTTTAAAACATCTCGGTTATTCATTCAATATCGTGAACCTTTTTTGAAGCTCACAAATGAACATGACGACCATAAATATAGGAGAGAGCATTCTGGAAGACATGGTAAGATAATGTAGTAATACTGTTTTAATTAGGAACGGACTTGTCTTATCTTTTTAATACTGATGTTTTATAAAGCATCTAAGGAATATGGAATGTATGTGTGGAATACAGGATGATGATGATGAAGACAATAAGTTCAAGAATTCGGGATGACAGTGTTGTGTAAGAGTCATGTTATTATACAAATATATTATATGTTAGTATCTATAAAAAAAAATAACTTGAATATTACTGTATATATATATAAAATATACATAACTATATGACAAGTACATTAATATAAAAGTCATATTTTTTTTCATAATTATAAGTAGTGTACGTGCACATACGGAACATATAAATAATTAATATAAAAGTAATGACTGTATGCGGAATGTCTTTCTTCATAATCATAAGTAGTGTACATGCAGTACGGAATATTAGACATGACTGTACCTATATATAAAAGCATTAGACATGACTGTGCATGTAATGACATGGTGTGCATTATACAATAACAGTGGCTGTGTATGTCAAAAAGAAAGTAACAATGAATGTGTAGAAAGAGACATAATGTGTATAAATACAATATTAACAATGACTGTGTATGTAAAATGATACATAATGTTTATGAATAATGCATTAACAATGACTGTGTATGTCGAAAAGAAACATGGTGTGTTTACATAATGCAATAACAGAGACCGTGTATGCGGAAAAGAGACAGTATGTGTATACATTAACAATTACAGTGTGCATTAAAAGAGACAGCATGTGTATACATTAACAATAACGGTGTGCATTAAAAGAGACAGTATGTATATACATTAACAGCGTGCATTAAAAGAGACAGGATGTGTAGACAATAACAGTAACTGTGTGTATTAACAGTAAAACAATGACATTGTTTACAACTAATACATGACACAGGTGTTTCAATACACATATAATATAAGACACATTCAGATATGACCGTGCATCAACAACATGTTATGTGCATAATGCAATAAGTTTGCAAACGAGTTTATACACAATACAGTAAAGCATGACACATGGGGTTAGCTGTGTACACCCTCAACATGTTTTGTGCATAATGTAATGAGTTTACAAACAAGTCTATACACAATACAGTAAAACATGACACATGTGGTTAGCTGTGTACATCGACAGTATATGACACTTGTTAAATATTAATGGGTATGAACAATGTACCGCAAGAGACATTGCGTGACAAATGCTTAATAAAGAAAAATATACAGTTATTGTGTGCATGAAGAAAACACAGGGTCTATATAAAGGATAGTTGAATGATTTGATGGAGTTGATATTAAATTGATTTTGAATAATATATACAACCCCCTGGGTTTTGGTATCGTGTGAAATAATAAAACAGGTATAAGCTGTAATTCTCGGTCCAGTTCTTGGACGATTATATGTCTCGTCTCTCCTAATGTATTTCTTTATTGTGTATATATTCAATTATCTATTGGTGCAAGATGGGGTGACTATGTTCCCATTGCAACACCCATTACTGGCAAAGAACGAAGCATATTATTACAAATAGTCATAATTCTCAAAGAATTAACTGTTCAAAATGCTACACACTTTGGGATACCTCGGAATAAAAAGGTGATGGGAGTAATAATATGATAATAATATGGAAGACATTTAGGTCTAACATTTTAATTTATAGTAACATATACATTAGAATTTTTAGTAATTTGATTGGATAATATCAGATTGATTTCAGTGCTTAGCCAATCAAAATTGAAGTATCTACTAAAATCCAAATTTTTAGTAATTTGATTGGATAATATTAGATTAATTTTAGTGCTTAGCCAATCAAAATTGAAGTATCTACTAAAATTTGGATTTTATCTTTAGTTAAGATTTTCAGAAACAGGGCCCAGTATCCTTAGATTACAATTATATAGACTGTCGGTTCATTCGTTCGTTAGTGGGGGTTGACGTCCGCTTCTACCGAGGCTGATACCACAAACAAAAAGATTGCTCCACTATTAAGACCAATTTTTAACGGGATTTCACTAGAATATGCTGTTTTATTACTAATCATTAAAATTTCTTTGATAAAATTTGAAGAACGCTCGTTATTTGTAACAAGTTTTGTATTATTGTAAAAATATTTGTATAACTATCATGGTACATGTTTTATTTATGAAATAATGGAACCAAAGACAAATGAATAAATAAATATAATAGTTGATAATGTATATTTTTGTAAATTAGATGTTAATATAAATTATTGTATAAGTCATTGTATGTATAGATTTGGAACAGATTAAATCATGTTTTATATTTGGAACGGATTAAATCGTGTTGTTATACAAGGTGTTTGTGGATGTGCCATGTTTATGCTATTTATTCAGACGTGTCTTAATGTGGCCGAACACTGGGTGAAGTAGGTACGATGAGACCTGCTACCCTCATATAAAATTGTCCCTCTTAATATTCAGGTTGCGGAAGCATATATTTTAGTACCCGTCTTCATTAGCCCGGCTAACGCAGACATGTTGGACGTTAAACCCCATTTCATTTCATATAGTTGTATTATTGCTCTAGATATGGCAAATTGATCCTTAGATTAGGGCCAATTAAAATAATTATTTCCCTGCACCTTTTGTTCTGTGGTAATTAAAAAAAGATATAGTTCACATCGTGTACATACCACTTTAAACTAAGCATACATGATAAAAACAAACTGTTTATTAATGTTGTCTGTTGCGTTCAAATACGCTTATCAAAAATTGTTATTTATGAACGTCACTGTGTTCGTTTTGTAGACGCGTAAGCGGTGTAACGAACACTCAAATCAAACGTGAATCTCCTTTTCTGCTTTATACAGAAAAAATAAACGCAAATAACGTTCGCTGTGTTCATTCTAGTCAAAATATTGTATTGTTTGTACATGTCTTTATAAAAAATGACATTTTTTAAAAATAAAATTTAAGTGCAAATATAAACGAAAACATGTACATAATTAACTGTGTTAACTATTGCTGATTCAATAACGTTGAAGTCATGTTAATTATTTATGATTAGTTAATTTGAGAGTTATATATGTTAACTACTTATAATTAAATCACTTGAAGTTTGTTAACTATTTATTATGAAATAACTTGAAGACATGTTAAGTGAAGCCATGTTAACTATTTAATACCGAATGACTTGAATTCATGGTAACTATTTATATTTAAAACTTGAAGTCATGTTAACTATTGATAATTAAAACTTGAAGTCATGTTAACTATTTATGATTAAATAACTTGAAGTCATGGTAACTATTTATAATTATAACTTGAAGTCATGGTAACTATTTATAATTATAACTTGAAGTCATGTTACTTATTTATAATGAAATAACTTGAAGTCATGTTTTAACTATTTATAATGAAATAACTTGAAGTCATGTTAACTATTCGTGATTAAATAACTTGAAGTCATGTTTTAACTATTTATAATGAAATAACTTGAAGTCATGTTAACTATTCGTGATTAAATAACGTGGAGTCATGTTAACTATTTATAATTAAATAACTTGAAGTCAAATTAACTATTTATGATCTAGTGAAACTGTTATGTGATTGAACATTGTTTATAAAGGAACAATGTACACTTTAATTAAGTATGGTACATTGTTTTATAAGATTACATAATAAATTTATCATATGGTATATGGTATATTATTTATTAAAGTCGTTCAAGCCACTTATAAAACCATTGTTATACATTGTTTGAAATTGTTGTTATTGTTAATGTACTATGTATATAAATAATAATTTGTTTGTTGCTCGCTTATTAATTACATTGTCTATTTTTGATCAACGTTTTTGTTAGGTTTTGTAAATAATGCATCTGATTGTTAAATGTTCCCAGAAAAGATGTTCCAAAACTTTTACTTTCTATTTTAAATGGACGAGGTTTATAAACGTATCTCCAAATAAACAATGTTGTCTGTTGGATTTTAATGAAAGTTCTACATTATTATTAAGTGTGTCGAAATAATATATGTCGACCTGCTTTGCACCATACTGTTCCAAATTATGTCTGGTCAATAGTCCGATTAACAACCAATACCTAACTGCGTAACAATATCATTACGCTTTAAACGAGCTCCAAATATGTTTACATAACGTTACGTCATGACTCGCGATTTTATTATGCCCAATTAACCAGTGCATTGCAGAAAAACTAATTGCGTGACAAACGAGGCTATCAACATGGATACAATTTGTCAACAGTACTGTTTGGAGACGAACAATAATTTCACCGTTTTTACTACCTTAAATCACTGTCCAGAGTTTTAGGGAAGACCCCAGATTAAACGAAGGGCTGTCATGTTGCTTTACTTGGGATCATGTTGCTGTACTTGGGATAGATTTGATTGAATGGGAAGAATAGACACACTCCCTCAAAAGCTCAAATATCAGAAGCCAATCCAGCAATGACCAGAGAGGGACTTCTTGGGCCATTGCTTTAGAAATATGGCTTTGCACGTTGTACGTCACTTTATGGAACTAATTTGACTCACCAAGAAGCTCCGGTGTTCGATCTGGGGTGCAGAGCAGAGTGCTTGACAAGGAAAAGCGTCCTGACATTCGTATGGGACGAAACACCAAGGTCCCGTGCAAAGGTTGGTGTGCACATAAAAGAACCCTTGACAGTTGGTGGAAGTGCTGTGGCCAGCGTACAACACCCCCCCCCACCCACCCCATAGAACACTACATGACGTATCTCCGTCTATATTAGCTCCATTTTTGTCAAGATCACTGAGATGTAAACAAGGTTATATTAGGGCACGAGATTGCACGTTAGGGTACACATTGGGGCTAGGCCTAGGGTTAGGGTTGGGATTAGCGCTAGCCCTGTTTACATCTCGTGACCTATGACGAAATATTGAGCTGGCCTTATCATTTAGCACTAACCCACAGACATTATAGCAGACCAAGTGAATGGATCGGGGGCATTTCCAATTAACTCCTCGCAATAAACCCGACTCCATTGCTACCAAACGACTGTGGTTATCGTACAGTGCGCATAATTTGTGTCAGAAATCAGTCACCGGAATCCAGTAATTCTCTTAACGAAACGCGGTGGGGGGGGGGGGGGGGTTATTACGTGCGCGCTGTATCATAAGGTCTGTCATTGAGTCATCTGGCGTGGTTTCGATTCCCCGGTTTCCTCGCACTGCTAAAGACCCCTACGCGCAGGCAGGGTAAGGTCGCCTGTTCAACCTCGTGGGTTTTCCCCGGGTCCTCCGGTTTCCCCCTACTGCTAAAAACCTCTGCGCGCAAGCGAATTATTGAAATAAAATTGAACCATATGTTAGTCTAGAAACGACCTAGAGTGAACGTTAAACCCCATTTCTCTCTCTAACATTAAATTCTAAGGGGACAAAAAAATAATTGTGGTCACATTTCCAGTGAGTCTGGATGTAGTTATTTCCCTTGATTTATATTTAACGACAAAATCACCACTCTGCAGTGCATACACACCGATTTGTACTATTATTAATTCTATTTTTAGGTAAAGGAAAACATTTGCGATATTATTACCACTTATATGTAAATTTAATAAACAAACACGGGCGAATTTTAAGAAAAACCTACAAATTTCGTGATAGCAACAATTGTGGTAAAGATATCACAAACGTAATAGTTTTAGGTTAACCATGTTCACACGAATTAATAAATCACTTTTGTGGTATTCCCCGCTGTAGGCTACATCCATTCATCAAGTCATCGGAACGTGTTTTATCTCTAACGTTATTGTTTTAAAAGATATTTTGCAGTTTTTAAATATGTGTAGAATCTGTTTAATCATGAACATAATTAAAGGCGCGCTTATCGTAAACGCATGCCAATACATTCTTAAACGTGTTAAAGGAATGCGCGTTTCACACGTTTTTGTTAAAATACACAATAATAGAACATAATTAGCTATATATATATTTTTAAATATCCACACGTTTCAATATTAAATAAGTATATATTTTTTTTTTTAAATTAAGGTATTTCAATGCTGTCGACAAGCACGCGCGGATAACAATTATTTATTTTAATATTTACAAAAATAAAAAATACGTGTCTGTCTTTATTATTATTTTGTTACGGAAAAGGTATAAATCAGAGATTAAACTAGACAAAGATAATACACCTTTCTCATTCACGTTTACTGCAACATTCTACTACCAGCTGCCAATATGAGGAATCTTCAGGTAGGCAATTTATTTTTGTATAAAAAATTTTAAATCTATTGATAGTCGTTTGTGGGAATCTTCAGCTAGCCAATTTATTTCGTTTATAAAAAAAACCCTTAAATCTATTGATAGTCGTATGTGGGAATCTCCAGGAAGGCAATTTATTTTCGTATAAAAAACTTAAATCTATTGATAGGCAATTTATTTTCGTATAAAAATCTTAAATCTATTGACAGTCATATGTGGGAATCTTTCGATAGGCAATCTATTTTCGTATAAAAAAAACCTTTAATAGTTGTGGGATTTGAATCTTGGTTCAAAACTGCTTTAATTTCGTTCAGTATACCACTGAGAATAAAGATTCATAAAAAAACTCACAGTCATTGCTTGTTTAAATGGCAAGACCCCACATGAACCAACAAGAGCGTTTCAGGTCAATAATGGCGCCCAAAGATTGGCCAAAGGTGACCGACAAGGATATATATATAGTATAGACATATCCTAAACATCATATTCTAATTTTTAAATGATAGGAGGAACCGGTGTCTGTGATTCTTCTAAAGTGAACGCCCCAAAAATTGAAATAATGCGACTTTTTACAGCAGAATAAATATACGCTGGAAATAATGGAATCCCGATCATCAAGTTGTTTTATCCATATTTTTTGGCTTTCGCTATTCGCCGTTTTAAGCTTATCACGACACCGTAGGACTAAGTATAAGTTGCACGTTATAAACTATTTGTAAAATCCAGAGAAACGTATACAGTGTGGTAGTTAGATACATTTAGATACTTGTAACATGGACAAATAATCTTCCTTTGTTGTTTCCGGTGTGGTTCCCCCTTGTCAGTGATGCAGGACGGAGGGCCTGACAAGGACAGCTGTCTAGTCATTCGGATGAGACGAAAAACCGAGGTCCCGTGTACACATTGGCGTGCACGTAAAAGATCCCTTGACAGTTGGAATTCGATATAAGAGTAGGCTGTAGTGCCGCTGTCCGGGCAAAATTACCCTCATAGCACACTGTATGGCGTATGCCCGTCTTCATTAGCCCAGTTCGGAGCAAAACAGTAGGACGTTAAACCCCATTTCATTTCATTTCTTCCTTTGTTGTTTTCCCTCTAGTAGAATGGCTGGCGTGCAATAACTAGACATTTTTAATAGTTTGCTGGTTTACGCTAGATTTGGTAGAAATCATATGGAGAAGTTGGTGGGTTTTCTGTGCAATAATAACGAACATGTTGAGCGACTGTCTATGTTACAAGTCATTTATAGCACGCTTCATTCGTTAACAGGTTAACAGGTTAAACCTATGAAAGCCGTGCTACAAATAAATCATACCAAACATTAAGTTCAAGTTCTGTTTTAAGTTCGGATACAAACAACAAAACGTTATGGTTACGTGGAACACGTGTCAACTAGTTATGACTGATCGAGTTTGGTTCGATTGTCGACAGCATCAACAATTTGAAACTGGAATAGATGACAAGTCAAAAAGAAATAGTGTCGCAATGGATTGTCCGATAGGGAGAGAGAGAAAGAGAGACAAATGGGGTTTGACTTCCACCCGACACAAACTTAATCATTTCGGGACTAACACATGGTTCAAATTTATTTTAATAATTCGCTTGCGAGTAGGGGTCTTTAGCAGTCGGAGGAAACCGGAGGACCCATAGAAAACCCACGAGGTTGGACAGGCGACCCCACTTCTTGACATGTACAGCCGGGGAATCGAAACCACGCCAGTTGACTAAATGACAGACCTTATGATACAGCGCGCAAGTGCTAACCATTCACCCCCCCCCCCCCGATCCCGTCGATAGGGTGGTGGGCTAATTAACCAAATAGCATCTATGATTTTTTTTTATTATTATATTCTAGGTTAGTGTTTGTGTGATTATGATCACTACTGTGTTGTCCAAGTCTGTGGATACCCTTCACAGAGAAAGACGCCAGACCAACTACCCTGGATATGTGGCGGGTAACCCTGCAGCCCAGCAAGCACCTCAGTACGCTTTATTTAATTATGCTTCAAGCGGTAATGCAGCAGCTGTAAATGCACAAGCGAACAATGCCGGTGGTGGAAAACAAAAGAATAACAAAAACAACAACAACAACGCAGCAGCAGTTTCAAACGTTCAACAGGCGAATGCTAACGTCAACACCGTAGCTGCTGCACAACAGGTACCGGCTACTACAACTTATTATGTATACAACAATCCCGCTGCCAATTATCAAAGACAATACCTAGCTGATGTTGCTCTCGCCAATTACATCGCCGCTGCAATAGCAGCAGGAAATCAGGGCGCTTCTACCTATGCTAGTATTGCCGGAGCAAACGTTGCCAATCAACAACAAGTGTCAAATCAACAAGTCAATGCAACCAACCAACAGCAAGTGGTTGCGGCAAACCAACAGCAAGTGGTTGCTGCAAACCAACAGCAAGTGAATACTGCAAACACACAAACCACTGCCGTCAACACACAGACCAATGCCGTAAACCAGCAAGTTTATGCTGCAAATCAGCAACAGGCAACCAGTGCAAATACAAATAGCGCAGCTGCGGCGGCGACGACAGCGGGTCAGCAGATGTACGCGGCTTACATGTATCCAGTGAACCCATACTCGTCTTATCTGGCGTATTTGGCCGCCCAGTCTGCAGCTTCAACAGCTCCAAATGCTGCTGCAACTACTGTTTAGTGATGAACAGTTGTCGAACTCTCTTGTACTTTACGTGTATAAAATATTTGGTTTTCATTTACAACAACTTTACGTGCCCCTGAGCTGTGAATCCACGTTTCCATCTTTTATTTCTATGTAAACTTTACCTCTATGGATGCATAGCGGTTATAATGAAATCGGTAATATTAAATACGTTGCTTTATTATTATCCTTTGATTTAGCTGGTTTGGAAATTTACGGAGCACGTACTGAGAGGGAGGACGGGGGGTGAATAGCCGAATGGTTAGCACGTGGGCCAGTTGCGTGCTCGAGCATTCCACAGAACCTTTGTACGGGGAGAAGATCCCGGTAATATTTGCATAAATTTATATGAATTATTTCATCATTTGTATAATCATCGCACTAGTTTGAAATATAGTTATTAGGCACGGTGACACTGTTATCTATTGATACTTTCGGTGTTGCAGTAGTTTGGATTAGTTCTGGCTCTATTCTCGTTCACTAATCCAATCTGGATTTGACGAACAGCTAAAGGAACAACATCATCGACGTCATTATTAAACCGTCCCCATTGAGAACAGACTAGCTGGCAGAAATGACAACCTCTACGGTCAAGTTTGGAGTCCAGTTCGGTAGCAATCGCACCGACTAATTGAGTCACGGATTCTAGAAAGCCCATCAGCATTTAGAAACTGTATTTGTAGCAGATAATCTCTGTTTGAAGGAAGGGGGCGGGGGCTGGTTGGCCGAATGGTTACCCCGTGTACGCTGTATTATAAAGTCTGTCATTGAGTTAACTGGCGTAGTTTCGATTCCCCGGTTGTACGTAACAAGGAGTAGGTTCGCCTGTCCAACCTCGTGGGGTTTCTCTGGGTCCTCCAGTTTCCTCCCACTGCTAAATTATTGAAATAAAATTGAACCATATGGGGTTTCTCTGGGTCCTCCGGTTTCCCCCCACTGCTAAAGACCCCTACGCGCAAGCGAATTATTGAAATAAAATTGAACCATGTGCTAGTCCCGAAATGACCTAGTTTGTGTCGAGTGTAGGTTTAACCCCATCTCTCTCTCTCTTCCTCTCTCTCTCTCTCTCTCTCTCCACTTTTCGATATTTAAGAGATCTAATGCATTATTTAATATCGCTTTTTTACACCAAACACAAAATTCTACATGTATATTATACAACAGATGAAGCAAGGACTGCTTGTTAAAATATACTTTAACTATTTTTACAGCGTTCTGCAGATCTTCGTCAATTGGTAAAAATTTGTTTCGGCTTGGGTTGATGTTGCCGTACAGTGACATCTGGCGTATTCAAATGACATTGTATGCAAAACTTTACGATTCGATCCTACGTAATGTACAAATTTCGATAAAAAGAAAAAAAAGAAAATTATATCTATAAGCGAACCCTGCCTGAAATTGAGTCCTCATCACTTTCAACACAATTTAACCGTCCTTTTGGCTTGTACAAATGACAGAGTTTTATACAATAACGACCACTAATTAATTACACAATAATAATGAACTATGTTATGTTCAAAACCATAATATCTCACTTGTGTGTTTATCATTACATCGTTCAGCTCTGCCTTGCTGGAATGGCGTCTTAAACAGTTTTTTTTTTAACTCCTTTCATCATTACAAAATGGCAGAGTGTGATATTTTGACGGCTGCTATATTATTACACAATAATAAGAAACCATTTTAATAATATATCACTTAAATGTGATTATCATAACATCGTTCAGCTGTAAAGTGGCAAAGTTTTATACAACCATGACTGCAAATATATCAACTGATTGGTAATCGGTTTTTAGACCAGTTATTTGCCCCTGAATTTGGGAACAGGTTCAGAATGTAATAGACTTTAGCCATTATACTTACTCACAGCTTACTGTTTTATGGGGATTTTTTTTTTTTTGCTGTTGGTTTTTTTTTAAGCGATTTGCCATGTTACAGGTGTCTGTGATTACATCGTGCAGCTGTACATTATTGGAATTAGCTTCTTCAAGTGCTGGTTTAGTTGAGACAATATTAATTTCACAATATCGCACTTATGTGATTATCATTACATCGTTTAGTTGTGCATTATCGGAATTAGCCGATCACCACGCCCCTCAGTTACCGGTAATGGAGCTTCAATACACAGAACACCATCACGACTCAACTTTGAAATCAAACGATCACAGGACAGCTCTTTCGGAAGAAGATATTGACGATGGTATTCACGATGCACCGACTTATTTTCATCCTTTTCTTCGTGCTTGGCATGAACTTCAAGTTTGTTGCCCTCAGTTCTCACAGCGATCTCTTCTGGTCGGAACTGCCGCAGGTCAAATTCGAGTCGGAACTTTCTACCGTCCGTATCCTGCATGAAGGGGTTGTCCAGATTAAAATTTTCTCGCATTCGCCAATTTGCTGGATGATGATCGACCGGGCACTGTGACTGAACATGGTGGTAAATTTTGTTCATGTCCGAAGAAACTCTTCTCATCTCTCCGTCAAGCGATCGCAGTTGTCTCTGAGGATCGAATGTCTCCATATCCCAGCGACTCCAAACTGGATTTTCCCAAGAAAGTGGAATTTGCCTCATTAATGCCATTATGAATATCTCAGATTTTCCTTAAAAATTCTTGAATATCCCCTCTCCGAATTAAGAATTGGGATTAAATATCAAAGCCACCAGAAACTAGACTGATATATCGGAAATAATTTTCTCGAATTAAGTACAGCGTATTTAGTAGTAGACTTTTATACTCCTGAGGTGTTTACGGAAAATTAAACGCCCAAATAAAACCTGTTTTGACATCTACATCTACCGGTTATAAAATGTATAGAAGCAAACCAATTAAGGAAGTTTCACCCCGGCGACTAACGACAAAAAAAAATATATATCAGAATGTTTAAAGCCGAAGTCCTTTAATGCTGAACAAATTATATTCTTACCTTACTATATATTCTGAAATTTAAGAGGCAACCGAAATATAAATGAATCTAAGGAATTTTTTTGTGACTGAACATGGTTGTAAAGAAACCCTTCTCATCAGACTGTTTTAAAGCTGAATTCCTTTGAAACATGGTAAATTATTTTTCGCAAGAGGGAACCTTAATTCCAATGCCTTTAAAGCTGGGAGAAGGAGAGACATCTGCGCGAAAAATCACAGGTAACTGTAGCTTACCGAAATGAAATGGGGTTTAACGTCCTACTTTTCTAACCCACCCGTGCTAATGAAGACGGGGTTAGGCCATAAGGTGTGCTATGAAGGGGTATTTGCTTCAGGGAACCACGGTGGCTCAGTGGGTGAGATGTTGGCTCGCTAACATGGAGGTCCCTTGTTCGACCCCTGCGTTGGCCGAGAAAGTTCATCGGGATTTTCCGGCGTGGTCCCCCTTGTCAGTGGTGCAGGACGGAGAGCGGCCTGGCAAGGGACAACGTATAGTCGTTCGGGTGGGACGAAAAACCGAGGTCCCGTGTACACATTGGAATGCACATAAAAAAATCGCTTGGCAGTTGGAATTCGATATCGGAGTAGGCCGTAGTGCCACTGTTCGGGCAAAATCTCCCGTCTTCATTATCCCAGTCGGAGCAGAACAATAGGAAGTCAAACCCCATTTCATTTCCTAAGAGTTTGCTCGGACAGCGACACCGCCGCAGTTTACTCTTATTTCGAATTTCAACTGTCATGGCTTCTTTTGCGTATTCGCTGGACCCTGGTACTTAGTTCTATACAAACGACTATGCGCCGTTCCGTGCCAGCTCCTCCGTCCTGCGCCATTGAGAAGGGGGGAAAACAAGCCGGAAAACCCCGAGGAACATTATCGGCCAATACATAGATCGAACCAAGGATTCCCAATTTGGCGAGCCTCGCATGATCAAAATAACTGTGGTTTGCGCACCTATTATATCGCTTGCATCTGAATATAGGGATCCACGGTGGGACACTGACCAGGAGATCCGGGGTTGGATTCTGTGGTTGACGACAAAAGTTTAAGCATTTTCCCCAAGCCTGGTTCCCAATGTTAGTGGTGCAGAGCTGAAGGCATGGCAAGGAAAAGTGGTCAAATCGTTCTGGTGGGAAGGAAACTCATGATTCACAACTAAACGGGCATAAACTAAACAGTGTACTATGAGGGAAATTTTGCCGGAACAGCGATACTCTTAATTCAAAGTTCAACTGTCAATGGCTAATCTCAGATTTTCGTCCCATCCGAAAGACTAGACGCCTTTCCTTGCCAGAACCTACGTCCTGCAGCCCTGACAAGAGGAAACCACGCTAAACGTCTTTTTACGGAAACGTGAGCGACAAGCCAGGGTATATGAAACGTGTGGGTTTTTTTTAATTCTCCTTATTACTGTGTCCCTGTTATCATATTTGATATTCTCAAAGTAGCCCAGCGTTTTATTTACATA